ACCCTGCTAGTACAAGGAATAGGCAATCCAAGACATATTTACACAGAAGTTTTATTCAGCACAAACCTTGGAATATTTCTGCAATAGTGTAATAATAATAAAAACATTGTTGTTTTAAAAAAGAAATTAAGAAAATGAATTTTGTAAGGGACGGAATCCACTCAGCTGACCAATGAATCAGTGGAAGTCAACCCTGCTAGTACAAGGAATAGGCAATCCAAGACATATTTACACAGAAGTTTTATTCAGCACAAACCTTGGAATATTTCTGCAATAGTGTAATAATAATAAAAACATTGTTGTTTTAAAAAAGAAATTAAGAAAATGAATTTTGTAAGGGACGGAATCCACTCAGCTGACCAATGAATCAGTGGAAGTCAACCCTGCTAGTACAAGGAATAGGCAATCCAAGACATATTTACACAGAAGTTTTATTCAGCACAAACCTTGGAATATTTCTGCAATAGTGTAATAATAATAAAAACATTGTTGTTTTAAAAAAGAAATTAAGAAAATGAATTTTGGAAGGGACGGAATCCACTCAGCTGACCAATGAATCAGTGGAAGTCAACCCTGCTAGTACAAGGAATAGGCAATCCAAGACATATTTACACAGAAGTTTTATTCAGCACAAACCTTGGAATATTTCTGCAATAGTGTAATAATAATAAAAACATTGTTGTTTTAAAAAAGAAATTAAGAAAATGAATTTTGTAAGGGACGGAATCCACTCAGCTGACCAATGAATCAGTGGAAGTCAACCCTGCTAGTACAAGGAATAGGCAATCCAAGACATATTTACACAGAAGTTTTATTCAGCACAAACCTTGGAATATTTCTGCAATAGTGTAATAATAATAAAAACATTGTTGTTTTAAAAAAGAAATTAAGATAATGAATTTTGGAAGGGACGGAATCCACTCAGCTGACCAATGAATCAGTGGAAGTCAACCCTGCTAGTACAAGGAATAGGCAATCCAAGACATATTTACACAGAAGTTTTATTCAGCACAAACCTTGGAATATTTCTGCAATAGTGTAATAATAATAAAAACATTGTTGTTTTAAAAAAGAAATTAAGATAATGAATTTTGGAAGGGACGGAATCCACTCAGCTTACCAGTTTACTATTTCCTTAGTGCCAACAACCATTTTTGTTTCCCATAACAATATTTTACAATGACAAACATATTTTTTTAAATTAAATATCTCTTCTCTCTCTCACTCTGTGTAAATCTAAATGTGTATGTATTTATACATTTGTATATTTCTATAATGTGTAAGTTTATGTTAGTAGTATTTGAGTGTGTAACCTTTGTGCATCTGCCTAACAAGATCTCTTACCACTTAAGGATTGACTGGAAGAGTATCAATATTGGAGTGGGCCTTACACATATTTAAGAATAACACTAAGACACAATCAAACCAAATGTTATTGTAAAAAGGTAGTTGTTAATTGCAATGATTTTAGAAGCAAATAATAAGTTTAAATTTAAAAAAAATTGAGTGTAAAATAAGTTTCTGTTGATATATTAATCTTTAATTAGTTATTGCCTAGATAAATAATATCTTTTAATATTTAAAAGCTTGACCCACAGTCATAAATGTTTATTTAATGCAAAAAAAAACTAGGAATTGATAACTTTGATTATGCTACCAATTTTAGAAGTTCATTTCACATTTAGCAGTTAGTACTAGAATTTAAAAAAGTATTTTTTAGGTGAAGTCAGAGATGGTTGAGTGCTCTTTGGGGAGGCCTTTGTTCAGCAGTGGACGGCGATAGGCAGATGATGATGAAGTCAGAGAATAAGGTCATGAAATAAAACATGTAACCTTAAAGACATGTTAGTTCTCTTACTTACTTATATTTAAAAAAAAAACATTGTTTGCCCGAGAACACTTCAAACCGGTGATTGTATATACATACAGGCAATAAATTCGCTTTTACTAATTTCATTCAAGACGACAAAATTCATCGGATCCTAACGTAAGAGTACGTGATGTGTGACAAAATTCAAAATAAAACAATACATCAAAGATAAAAATCAATGCATAAAATCAAAATTCTATTGTGATTTTTTACATTAAAACACAACTTACTCATTCAAAATGTTAAATGCACACAATTTCTAGATAAAATCAATCAGTACAATCCAATTTAGTAGAAAACAAAAAAAAAGAATGATTTGACAAATAACTTTCAGTTACGCATCACTCCTATAGAACAAGGTAGATATTATATCTTAGAATATCTATGAGCCTTTTCAAAAAGTATGCCGATTATCATTTATGGAAGTCCAACTTTCTGTCGTGAATTTCTGTATCTTAATATTTAACCTCTTAGTTCTTACTCCTACTGACATAAGTTTGTCACAGGGTTGCCAACCTTAGAACTATTTTCTTGTACTTTTGCAACTTAAATCTCTTTTAAATTCTATTAAATTCACGCTCATCATTTAAAGTATCGATTGTAGTTAAATGAGAATATGATATGGTGGCACATCAGACAATTTGTAAAATTTCCTCAATAGATTTTGATCCTAAAGATGCATGTAGTCAAAGAGTTAACTTTTTAAAACTAACTACTAGTTAACTATAAAAAAAAAACAACGAACTTATATAGAGGAAGCGAACAAGGCGCATACGGTTGGTAGAGAGAAAGAAGATTGTGTTTTGCACTGATAGGCTGATACTGAAGAGTGCATTTAAAATAGCCAGTCAGTGTCAAGAGCACAGAGAGATGCAAGACCAAACCACGGTACTATTATAATACAGTACTCCAACTTCATACAAACGGACGAAACGCGAGCTATACCTACGCGCCTCGATCTCGGGGTGCGCTCGGGGCGCAGACACTCACGGCTGCACCGCAGTGTCGAACGGACTGTGTGTTGTTTTTTTAACAATAACCTCGCGATTTTTTCTCTAAAAATCAGTTAATATGACGAGCAGGAAATATTGTGCTGTTTTTGATTGTATGAATTCGTCAATAACGCATCCAGACATAAGCTTTTTAAATTACCTGGAAACTCTGAAAGGTAAGACTATAAAATAATTTTACTTAGTAGTAGGTAGGTACATAATGTGTGTCTTTTTAATGGATAAATATTTCCTTTTATATCACGAAAAAAAAAGGTGTTTAGATGAATAAATAAAGCAAATAGAGTAACGGAAAGTTATTGAGACGAGTGAAATAGGGAGTTATATGCGGTTCTGAATGAATCATGATACGGTAGGTACCTACCTACTTACGCTTGTGTTAAAACTTCGGTGCATGTGTGTTTTGTCACTTTGCATAATTCAAAGTAAAGACGTGGTATTTTATTATTAATAATATTTGTTTATTATCTGTGTGTATGAATAATACTAAAAAAAATTTTTTACCGTCTGTGTGTCATTAGACAGTTTTCGAAATTTTCACAAAGTGTTTCTGCTGCTACTATAACAACATATACCACTAAAAACTGTTTTTATTTTCTCGGTATTAACAACAACAGCTAGACTCATATATAATATTTAGATGTTTGAGGGTTGTGATTTTAAAACATTCGAAGTCAGCTGTTCAGCTTTTTAATAATTAATTAATTGGTGACCAAAGAATTTTTGTTTTGAGTTGTTGCGAGTTGTAGGTAGGTACCTAATTTATAGAGACGTTAATAAGCTGAGATAAAAAGTTACTTACTCGTCAGCTGTTTCTTGCATTCTAGTTGAGTAGGTAGGTGTTGGAGTTTCTAAGGATTGGAGTTTTGTAACGCGTAAGGAGAAAGCACATTTATTTTATTTTATAGAAGGATTTTTTTCGGTCGCAAATTTATAAGCCCGATTTGTTTTTCAAACAAAAACATGTTTTTTAATTAAATCTACCAATCAAAAAACAACACGCATTTTTATTGAACACTTCCTATTCAATATACAAAGTATTTCATTTATTTATATGAAAGGATATTTACAATCACAAATCTAAATAGAAACAGAAAGTAGGCAAATATAATTAAAATGCTGGAGACGGGCAGCCCTAACGCATGTTTACGTACCGCACGGCTGAAGGCATTTATTTCTATCATGCGGCCGAGTTACACTACTGTATTATAATTGTACCGTGACCAAACAATATTCTTATACTTTTCTTGTCTGTAAGTTATTTCACGTTCATTTATTATCTGTAAAACTTATTGACTTTTTTCGCAGTCTAGTAAACAGTTTCTAATTTTATATTATTTAAGCCAATATTATTTTTTTGTGGATGAAAAACTGCGATATGCACCTAGCTGTTGTAGATATAGTGAAGTGTGTCGAGTTAAAATATTATAATACTTTTAACACTGTCTAAACGTTATTACACGTTTATGTATTGTCTGTACAAGTTACTGAATATTTTCGCAGTCTAGTACAAAGTGTCTAATTATTATTTAAGCCAATTTAAATGCTTTACTTTCAATATTTATTTCTCTATCCTAATCTAAAAAATTTTGACGCTTTCTTTAAAAAACTTCCTTATGCTATTGTAGCGCCCCCAGTTTAACGCTTTTTTAGAGATGTACCTCTACCCTTCATAGTAGGTACCCATAGTACAGGCTCCGCTTAGTTTAGGTCTACATGGCGTTTTAAGTAAAATTCTACTATACCTGTCTTCGTTTTTTCATCGGTGTACTAATATTTTACATAATAATAATATTATTGATTTTTGTCTTAAATGGACCACACAACTGTTTACGCTAAACGCTAATCTCAGCAAAACATGAACATAATGGTCCCAGTTTTTTGAGCCGATTATCACATTCATGGAGATGATTACATCAAGCGTGCTATTCAGCTTTTGCGCATAATTGTCATAGAAGGATATTTTTATAAACAAGGAAAAAGGTACTATGACATATTTAAAAATAAAGCTGAACACAAAATACCATAACACAGGTTTTGTTTAATTTTGTATTTGACAAGTTATTGTCAAACAAGTATGTTTTGTAGAATCAACAATATTTTTATTTGTATTTTGCAATATGTATACTAAAAGGAAAAAGTTACAGCAACATGATGTTATTTATAATGATAAGGTCAGAAATGATAGACCTAAAAGAGGTTATTATTCTGAATTGGTGGCAGACATGTCGAGGGGAGACCATTCAAAATCGGTTTGTGCAAAAAAACGGATGAAACTCATATTACAGGTAAAAAACACTAGTAGCTCAGTCGTTGCCACTGGTGCCTCCTCATTGATTGTCAGGTTATTGATTGTCAAGTTATATGTTCTACAGAATCTTACATGAAATAAAGGCTTTTGCTTAGATTATTTAATAATCGACTGAAAATATATATCGATCCTGGCCTTTATGTGATGAAGCACGGCTCTCCCACCCTATATTTGTCTAGATACCGTGGGAAAAGCATCGTAGCTACGGCTTTTCTGTTTCATCTTAGAGAGATGCCACAAGGCAACACGGGCGTTTCCAATGCGCTGCGTCGTTTCAACACAATAATTTCAACGCACTGAGTACCACACGAGCGCTGCAATGCGTTCCGTCGCGTCGCGTCCGCGCGCTGTTTCAACGCACTGTGTGACATGTTTCTAGAGGGGACGGGGTCCACACAGAGCGAGCATCCTCGCGAAAAACTTGTATTCGAACGAGCGTAGCAAGATGGGCATCATCGCGAGGCTGCCACGCCTACTGCTAATGTTGAAATATGATGATAATATTGGATCCAGACATAAACAGATTTTAAAATGGACTTTACTGTACTAAGAATTGATTGATGATGGAGTGCAGAAAAATGCAGTATCCCTTGTGCATTTTAAAACAATATAACATCAAAGATTGATATGCTCGAACGAGGCACTAAACGAAATACGCGTTAGTCCAGAATCCGCGCAGCAAACAAGTGATGCGTATTTCTGCGATTAAGTAGTTTCCCGCGGCAAATGCCCCGCTAGGATGCTTTCTATTCAGATTTATGAGCAGAACTAAGGAACGTCACCATTGCCTCTCGCAGTGGCAACGCAGGGCACCACCAACGCCCGTGTGGAATTTCTCTTAGTATGTGTGATGAAGTTTTGCCGTTAATATAGGGGAGTTTGAAATATAAATTTACTATGATTGTTATATATATTTTTTTAAATTTTCCGTTACTTATAGTTTAAAATACTTACCGAGAATATATAAAATGCTAAAATTTCTAACAGAAAATATTTAATTCTTGTCTGATAAACAGGGATAAAACTTTTATTTCATTAAGTCATTTAAGTAAGACATAAAATTATTATTTTTTATTTATGGCAAGGTATCTAGGTCGACTTACTCAGTAACACTGTACCTATACCTACCCTCCCAATAAAAAAAAAAACATTGATTCAAAAATAACGTAGTCAACAAATATTATAAACGCATTAAGAAAATCCTCGCTTTTTTAAATCTGTTTAAAATATAATATTTTATATATTTGGTAGTTAACCTTGTATTTGTATTTACAGAGCAAGACTGAAAAACTTGCACCGACATTGGTGTCTTTGCCGAAACCTCAGAGAGTGAAGATATTGTTGCCTCCTGGGCGGTGGACTACTTATAGAGAGGATGAAAGTATTGTTAGTATATATTAGAATGTTTTACTCGTTTTTTAACAAAAAAGTTAATCGCGTTCCTTACTTGACAAGCAGAGGAAACGAAGGAAAGAAGAAACTTAGGTACTTGAAAGTTCAAGTGGGGTTTTGCCCCTTCAGGACGGCGGGTGCGTTCGAACTCATTTGCGGAATCTATACTAATATTATAAAGCTGAAGTGTTTGTTTTTTTGTTTGAACGCGCTAATCTCAGGAACTACTGGTCCGATTTGAAAAATTCTTTCAGTGTTAAATAGCCCATTTATCGAGGAAGGCTATAGGCTATATATCATCACGCTAAGACCAATAGGAGCGGAGCACCAATGAAGAATGTTTCAAAAACGGAGAAAATTTATTACTATTAAGAGACGCAGACGAAGTTGCGCGGGTCAGCTAGTACTTTATATTTTTTAATATCACAAGCAGTTTCTAGCGTTATCCATAGACATTATATTTTGAGCAACTTTAATACTGATTATATGAACACATGGATGAATTCCTGCCAACTACATGTATAGCTAATTATATAAAACATCCTAGATGGCATCCTGTTTTCTTTATCGTACGTATAGGTATCAAACGAGCAAACGGGTGACTAAGTGGCCCAGGGAAACCTACCTACCTAAGTGGGTTGCCTCTGAGTGCCCCCACAGAATTAGGGTGAGGTGGTACTTGTCTACCAGTAACCTCACTCATTCGGTGACGTAAACTCTAGTTTTTTACTATCAGGCACATACATATGTGCCAAAACATTGCACATATATGCCATATAATTTCATACCACATAATTCCCGGTGTTTTAAGGTTTGCATAAATTCAATGTTATGTTTAGTTATATATTTTTATTATTAAATAGAGCTGTAAAACACACAAGCATTAATACAAACTACTAATAATTTAAATAACATCTTACATAAAAATATTTCAAGTAAATGTTAATTTTGTTTTAGCAATTCCCATTCGAAACGTTTGTGCCCAAACTTCAGTTCCTAAGTATTGTGCTGCCCAAGGAACTGCCTCGACTAGTCAAAATTGAGCGGCTGCGCAGGAAATTTCTCGCTGCTAATATAAAGGTTGAACATTGTTTACCATGAAAATTTTTTTTTTTACTTGGTCATACTGAGTGGAAGTAAAATAATGATTTGACTTTTACGTCGTAAGTGAAGATGCTATACGATTGCTGGATGGTAGGTAAAATGAACGGTTCGAGAAATTGAGCAATAGCTCCAACAAGTCGCATATTTAAGGGGCCTAGAAAGGGGCCAGATGTCTTAATAAGAGCTGTCCCGGCGCCTTCTTATATCTGGAGCAGAGTGACACACCGTATCTTTTTCCGTACCGGTTTTAGTCGGTTATATTCTGACTCATCACTCAACCCCGAACTCCGGTGGAGTTTCGGCCCAAGGTGGTTTCCACACGTAAAAAAAATACGGATATGATACGGATTGGATAAATATTGCGGGAAAGAGTGAGGGTTCTAACCATAAATCAAATAATTGAACCATTTTTTTTTATAAAATATTTTTTACTTTATTATTGCAGAAAAGGCTTCGTGAGCTTGGCATACAGCCATACGAGTTACTACCGATAGAAGAGTACCGAGTGGATAGTCAAGAGCTCTACAGCCTATATAGCCCGTTCCCCAAGCTTGACCTTGAAATTTTTGACAACACTGACTTCGACTGTCGGTTAGTTATTTAAATATTATTTTAAATCACCGTACTCGAATTTCATCCGCCTTTAATATCGTTTATATTGCCCAAAAACAAGATAAATGTCAGTCTGACTGTCACAAGGAGGGTTTTGTTCATTTCTTTTTTCAATCCTTCGAAGGTCATTAGCTCCTTCTTAGATTTAATTAATATTTGAGCCGAAGGTTTTTGGATCCTTTAAATATGTTATGATAAAATAATAAGTATTTGACTTATGTTTGAATATTTCAGTGTACCTGACGAATGGATGTCATTAGGTATGATAGAGGGAGAGCTACATCCTTGTCCGGGTCTGGCTTTCATCCCCAAAAGTGAATTAAGATGTATGAGTGGGGATTACATACATCAACTAAACAATTTTTACGAGGTACGTAGGTACTTAATTCTAAGATTCTTATAAAAGCGAAAGTTTATGTGTTCTTTCGATCCCGTTGACTTTTCGAACGCTAGGTACTGTGCATGTTACTTTTTTTACGCTGAAACTAAATTTTATCTGTACACTAAATTTATCTAAATCTAAATTTAAATTTAACAAAAATCTAAATTTAAGTCGGGACAGATTTTGAAAAAAATTAGTATACAGATAGATTATGACCTAAATGAACTAAATGGTTATTGCAAGTGTGAGAATAAAACGTTTGTGGTAAATTACGAATAACGATTAAGATTTGTTCCCTTATTTATTCTTGTGTGATCTGTATTTGCGTGTACGGCTTATCTTTTTGTCTTATTGTCACCCCACTTCAGAGCAAAGAGTGTTATGGTTGTCACCCATATTAACTAACTGCACGGATGGCGTAGTGGTTTAAGCGGTCGCCACCAGCGTAGTGAACGCTGAGTGCTGTGGGTCCGATCCCCACATGGGACGACACTTTGTGTGATCCACAAATTGTTGTTCAGAGTCTGGGTGTAATTTGTGTCCGTTTCTATATGTATGTTCGTAAAGTCCCCCGCGACATAGGATTAATTCTAGGCATTAATCCTATGTCGCGGGAGTTCTTAAAAAAAAAGTATACTTAATATTTTCGGGGTAGAACAAAATAATAAATAAATAATTGCAATGAATGTAATGTTATTTACAAATCCAATAAAATTAAAAACATTTATTTCAAATTAAGCATCTGAATAAAAACAATTCATAAAGAAAATTAATAAACGATAAAATAAGCAAATTTTAAGATAACTCTCAAATAACTAAGTTATAACTCTTATAATAGATCGTCTTGCGAAAACTACTTCGAAGTACTATACATAGAGTATGATGGTTGACTTTTAAGATATGCTAAACATATTTAAATTTAATTTAATATTTTATTTGCAATTAGAATGTCGCCTATAATTTTTCATCAAAACATTTCAGAAAAATTAGCATTAGTACAAATTTATTCATTTTCATATTAAAAGTACTTTATAAATAGTACTTTACTTACTACTTAGTACTTTATAACTCCTTTCAATATCATTTTACTAAAACTAAGCTCTACTTACCTTCGTTGTTTTAGTTTCCATTACACAAAATTTAGTCATCTAGTCAAGAATAGTTTTTTTTTTTTTTTTTTGTATGCACTTAGAGATTTATCTAAAACTATTTTATTAAATTAATTATAAAAATACTTACAAATGAAATTTACCACCCTTAGCCACAAAATGTCTATCCGAATAATTTTAACATTAAAAAGACAAAATTTCCTCATATTCTTCTCAATACCACGAAAATATATTGACACGCGACACATAGTCCAGTCATTTAAGCTTAAATTAGGTAAGAATCTCGGAATTCGAGATACCCAGCTGTAAGTCTGTAAATACTTGTATATTGACACCCTAAAAGTTGTCTCAAAACCTACATATGGTAGGGTGTAAGCAACTATTAAATTTCAAGGTCAAATTCACAAAAATCGGTTTATTGCGCTTTTCTTGGAAATATCTCATTTCCTATGGGTTTCTACTATTTGTATTCATTATCAATATTGTAGAATACAAAATTCTCTACAAATTTTGGTTAAAAAAATTTTTTATACGGTGAACCATTTTCGAGATAGAGGGCACGCGGTCACAGCATCACTTCAGGTCAACCGGTGCCTCCAGTCGAAAACGCGCGATAAATCAATGATTATAAATATTTGTCAATTTTTATGAACTATTATATTATATTTTATAATTTTTTTCCTAACTTATCCACTTTTTATTCAGTATTAATTTATTTAACAACACTTACCTGCCCATGTAATTGCAGAATTGTTAATGAAAATATAGGAATTATATTTTTATTTTAACCTAATTAATATTAATAACTTCTTACATGATGAAAAAAAAAAACAAATAAATTATGAATTAATCTTTTTATTAAAAAATATCATTGAATACATTTATTTTTATTGAAAGTAAAAAATAGAATAAAGATTACAAAAACTACAATTTATAATTTTAATCATCTTCTTCCTCTTCATCGTCGTCTTCTGGCTGCTGGTAAATTTCAAACTGGTCTTCATTAACGACATTTGTCTCAAGGTCTTCCATTTTTCGGGGTCGAAGGTTCCATCTTCGTTAATGTCGCTCTGATATGGTAGAGCATTGAGACAAGCTTGCCCATTACATTGGCCACAAGCATTGCAAGCCCGCTTTCCTGCATCCGCATCGCGAACCACAACCACTCTTGCAGTTGCAGAAAAATGTATTTAGCAAATCTTCTCTAGCAGGTGGCAAAATTGTCATGATAGGCTCCAGAAAATCATTTCGCATTGTCCAACCCCATTTTTGTGACTTTTGACCTTGAAATTTAATAGTTGCTTACACCCTACCATATGTAGGTTTTGAGACAACTTTTAGGGTGTCAATATACAAGTATTTACAGACTTACAGCTGGGTATCTCGAATTCCGAGGTGAACTTACTATAATGACTGGACTAACAAGTGCACAGTACGGACGCTGAGTGTACTAACTTTAAGCCACGCCCGCTGTGATGACGTCAGGACCTAGTTAGTGCACACACAGTGCACAGTTGCTTAGGCCCTCGCCTCTTTGTATTTGCTGGATTGTTTCCGTATTTGATTCATTGGAGGGCCTGTTAGTCTACTGATTGGTAAATCTGACTGAAGAGCCGGAGGTCATTGATTCGATTTCCACCCAGGACAAATAATGATCACGATCATTGTTATTTATCTGCAGTATTTATGTAAGTATTCAGAAATACATAAGTTCCTATATTTATCAGTAGTCTGGTTACCATAGCACAAGCTCTGCCTAGTTTGTGATCAGACGGCCATGGGTGAGATCATTTTCATTGTTTATGATATTCCAATAAATATTCTATTCATAAATAATATATCTGAGTCCTACCATTCATTCACTAGTTTATAATCGCGGTTTGAATATTGTAATCATAATTTTTGAAACCCTCGAGATTTAGTTAAGAAATCATCATCATCATCATCAACAACTTTTAATAGTCCACTGCTGGGCATAGACCTCTCCTTAGAAAGGAGGTTTAGGCCTTTTGGTTTGTGCCAAGTTTTCCTTCTCTTTAAAGTGCTGTTGTCCTGTGTATTTTATCCTCCCTTAGTCGGCTCTTACGACAGCCACGGGATGAATAGTGGTGGTGACACTCCATATCTCTCCACACGGACGGTTAAGGTATGAACGCGTTGCAAATAAACTCACATTAAATTGTTTTACAATTAAATTGTTACAGTGGACGAATGTTGCAGCTTTAAATTATGATCACAAGACTGAAAAGTGGAGCATCATGACCTTAGACGGGACGAAGCGACGATATTTGTAAGTATATCTGCGACTACCTGTATGTAGCTGAAACGCGAATGATGAATCTGTGGTGTAACTAGAATAGACAATGAATACATAAGAGGTAAACTAGCACGGTGAATGAAGAGTTGAGAAGCTGCAGGTTATCCCGGTATGAACATGTGAGGCGTAGAGATGAGCAAAATGCTGTAAAGAAAGTCTTATAAATGGAAGTTGATGGATATAAGAGTAGAAGATGGCTAAGGAAAATATGGATACGTTAAAGAAGATAGAAAGGAAGTTAGTAGTGAACTGACGAATGTTAGAGGAGAAATGAAGAAGAAAAATCTTTGCGCCGAGCTTAAATAAATTTGGGAAATTAGTAAGAAGATAATCATTTTCGACTGCTAACATAAGTTTCTAGTTCTCACTTAATCTCATCATCATCTGCCTACCATTATCCCAATTTCATTTGGGGTCTGCGTAGTACGTATAATTCTTCCATTCGACTCCATCATTCGTTATCTCACTGTTTACTCCCTTCCTAGCCATATCCTCACGCACACAATCCATCCACCTTTTCTTTCGTATTGCTCTTCTCTTGCACCCCATCAACTCCCATACCTAACACTTTCTTCGCCATATTTTCCTCATCCCTGCGCATGACATGTCCATATCAAGTCAACCTATTACTTCTTAATTTTTCATCCAGTGGCGCTACTTACAGACTCCCTCGTATATACTTATTCCTAACCTTGTCCATCCGAGTCACACGACATTTTTTTTTAAATTATTACTTTATGTACAAAGTGTACAATGGCGGCTAAAAATATTATCTTCCAGTCTACCTTAGGGTGATGTATAAATGAGTGTGAGAGAGAGAGATTGCATTTAAAATTATAGGAGTGTTATGTGAAGGACAGAATTAATTTGTCGCACCTTTTAAACTCATTGCGCATGGAATATGACGCATATATGGAATAATTTAATTATTCATTCATTAATGATTCGTTCAGCCGGGTCAACGCCGTCAATTTTAAAGACTTTTATTTATTTATTAATTCGTAAGGCGTACAGGCGGACTTACTGCTCGGGCACGCCGTTATAGCGGTGGTAAGTCCCGTTGCAGAGAATTTTCTCGCGAGGTAACACGAGATCCTTTCATACCGGCTGAAATTGGTGACCAACGGGGAAAGGATGTTTTGGAGATCACCTGTGTCTGATCCGCAAGAAGCTAACGCCTCGGTAGAACCACTGTAATAGCCAGAGTGTGGACACGGCTCTCCACATGCCGGCAGGATGCCCGGTGTGAATGAAGCAGAGCCGTGGCTTTGTGACGGCCATCAGAGTGAAGATTCTATCGCTCGGTTCGCCATGATTGCGGTCTTACGTAAACTTTTTATGTTCCTAACAAGTTTCGTATTTTGGTTGCGGTCTTTGAAGGTACTTACAACCGCCTCACAGTAGCACTTAAGGGAGACTTCAAACTCAAAATACTTTTATTTCATAATATTCTTTTAAAAATTACTTGAAATCGTATTTTATGTAGACGTTAAAGTCCTAGATTAACACACACAATAGCAACAATCTGTTTTGATCTTCTTGCGAGATCCGAAACACACACGCTTTTAAATTTGTGACGTTCTTTTTAGAGTAAAAGTGATGAAATTCATTAGTCATCGGTGGTAAAGTCTGAGGACATCGCACTTAAAGGAGCCTCGCGTGGCTCCTTTTGCAAGGCCGTGGGCGACCGCCTACATCGCCCACGCGTAGCTACACCACTGAATATTAGTATAGACGTAGGTAGATTATTTAGGTATTTTTCTTATTCAGATTATCATTTCGTCAGAATACCACGCATCCGGCTTATGTTCAAAGCAGATGATCCGGAAACCTTTGCTATGCGGATCAAGTTTGCGGTAGATTTCAGGAAAGAAATCGAGAATAATTTACGGTTTGTATACACATTATATCTAATAAAAGAAGCACATACAGAACAATTTAAAAAAGTTTCCTCGACTACAAAAAACAGGGCAAGCTATCATACAAAATCGTTCTTAATTGGCTTAACTTAAACTTGAGATATTATTTTAAAAAAACGTAGAAAAAGGACATCATGCTTTTTACAAAAAAAAAAATTGAAACGAAGCAATACCAGTTGACGCTCCTATTGACCGTAGCGTGCTGCATGATGATATAAAATAGCCTAGCCTGTAGCCTTTCTAGATAATGAGCTATTCAACACTTATTTTTTCAACAATTTTTCAATTCGAACTAGTGCTTCCCAAGTTAAGCTCAAAAGTTACTTGTTACTTAACTCTTTAGCTTTATAATATTAGTGTTTTAGGTCATACTCAGATGGGTGTCTGCTGAAATTTGACAAACGAATGTCGACTGCTTTACGTATTTTCCATGTTTAAAATATTTTTCCCCGGCCAGTACCGAGGTGAGGTCGCGTCATATGTGAGTAAAGCCATTCATATAAAAAACTTAATTATTTGATTTTTACAGGTTCTACTTATATTTGGATTGTTTAATGCTAAACGCATTGCCGAATATTCCTGAACACTTCATGAGCAAGATTATGAAGATGGTACTAATCTACCGTCAGTCAAAAGAAGCCCCAGAACTGCTCGTTTCCGTACTTAAAAAAGAGGTACTTCTTTCGATATTAATATTATAAAGTAAGAACGCTTTTCCACGTCCGCCAGGAACAGTGTTACTTACGTTAACGGTTAAGAGTGGCGTGACGATTGTATTTGTAAAATATTCTCCGAACCCTTATGGCTTTACGTAGCTGCTTTTTTCATAATTCTTAAATTATAAATTGCTCAAAAAGTCAGTTACTGTTAAGTTGCTTACTGCTCATTGTGTATTTTAAATATTTCAAGTTGCACATACCTCTCCGTGACCGTTTGATAGAAAATCTTATCACGTATACATACATTCTGTTTTAGGTGCTAAATTTGTATCAGAAGATGGAAGGAAAAATGCAAATTATTTACACCATACAGAAGTATCCAAATTTATACAACTTTATAGGTGTGCCAACTAAAGACTATTTGCCTCTTGTACCAGCTTATGGTAAATATCCTTGCATTTAATTCTTAGTCTTGCGTACATATATGTCACTCTGGCACTCATCATCATCACCTTGTTAAGGTAAGCTTTCAAAGCAAGCGTTACCGACGCCGCGTTAAGTGACTGGTGTCATTGACGCCTTGATGACTTTGGATGGCAACGAAAGACGTCAATCAGTGGCATCGCCTTTGCCCACCACATCTCGATAGGTGTTAAAAGTATATTTCTTCATTATTTTTTATGCCGTGTGTGAGATGTGTGATATATATTATTATTATTATTTATTTATATAGCCTTCCTGCAAACATATTGCATATGGCGGACTTAATGCTTCAGGCATTTTCTTCTAGTTACACCTTTGGGTATTGCAAAGCTGTGTGTGGCAGGTGTATTTTTGGGACAGGTGAAGATGAGACTGAATTAAGAAATGTTACAATAACTGAAAAGAAAAAATCCTACAGATATATAAGTACTAGGTATACATACATATTATGGATTTACTTAAACTGATTATAGAAGACGAAGAAGATGATGACCTTTTATTTCGACTACCTGTTACTCATTCGATATTTTCAGATGTTTTTTTTTCTAGCCTTATACTTAGATTATAAAGCAATGGATGCCGAGACCCCAGTGTAATTATTATTTCATCTACGAGTACTTCTGTAAGCGTGTCAATAGATTGTCCATGCAAAGGTTGCCTGTAAGAGATTGCTATTAGCAATAAGGCCGCCCATTGTACATATCCATCCGTAATATTTAACCAACTTACTACTAATTGGTGAACAATGAAGCATGTTTTAATTCTAGATGCCATTTTATAGAAATTAATCTCAAAATACACTTGGGCGTCGGCGACACTACGAACATGAGCGCGGCAGTGACGCTGGCGTCTAACGTCACAGTTGCATCAACACTGACGCAAAGTGTGTCGCTGCGCTTGAATATCGTTCCCTACATTTACATGTGCATTAATCTGCCGCTCTGTCGTTACGTCACTAGCGCGGTGCCATTGACGCTACTGACGCTTGCTTCGAAAGCCTATTTTTACATTTTCCCAACTTTATTTGGGGTCGACGCAATATTGCAAATATTGGCGTAATATTGCAAAGGGCTTTAGCAGATTCATTTCATCAGACGCCAACCCTTTTTTAACAAATATACCTTTTCAAACAGATTGACGAAAGAACTGACCTACCTAACTTGACCATTAGTCTAGTGATTAGTGACACCTTAGTGGACTCCATTCCCACCCAGGATGAATACCATTTATTATAAATAATAAATGGTATTCATCCTGGGTGCACTCATTAGTACTACTCATTCATTATTTATTATTACTCATTCATTATTTATTAGTATTTTTTACCATTTATTATAAATAATAATAATAAATAATGACATGGGAATAGAACCCATAATGTAATGTTAGCCCATAAACATTTGACTAATAACGATAAATTTTCTCCAACAGGCAGGTACCCATGTGTGATGGAAAACTTTAATGCACGTGTGGCGCATAATAAATGGTACTCTTTGTACGTACCGATAGAATCGGTCGCGTGCATTCACCTTGTCATTGAAGAGTGTCTAAAGGTAAAGTTATTATGTTTTTGAACCTAGATCACCGCGGTCTAAACTGAATTGAAGCTCTGTGCAAGCTGAGATTTACCTAAATAACCCACACCCATACTAAAATTCCCGTGCTTGGACACAAAGGGGCTGGCTCAACCAGGGTAAGCAATTATTTCTTTGCTTTTACCGAGTGCCTGAGGTTATCGGATGAACTACACTCCTCCCCTCCCTAATTATAGGAGGCTTCAAAGACCGTTACGCATTGGTAATTTTTGAGTTGTCACTAATCTTGTCACACTAATCTTCTAATTATAAAAAGGTGGAGTCCATGTTATTCTTCACGGCTAACTACGGCAGGAACGTGAGTCTGGCAGAGTTCGATGCAGCGCAACAACACAGCACAAGCATGGTACGTCATATCTTTTGTATTCTATAACTTACTAGCCCCCCGTACCGGTTTCGCATTCGCGTCCATTATTTGTTTGTTTAACAGGCTGTTTATTTTGGCGTGTGTTAAAGTACTGCACTGGATTTTAAAATGAACGGCCTTTTATATACTTGGTCCTGGGCCCTTCCCCTCCGCGCCCCGCCTACTATTCTCCCACGACCAGCGACATCTATAGAGCCAATAGCCTTCCTCGATAAATGAGCGATCTAACACTAAAAATAATAATTCAAGTCACGTTCAGCTTATTTTGGAAATTAAAACTTGATTTATAATACAAATACCACTAGGCGCTCTCTAATAATATTGATGTTTTTCAGATGTTGAAATATTTGACGATAACCTGGCTAGGAAATACTGCTCATTCGATACGGATGTCATTCCGAGACGTGGGCAAAGGGTATTATATTGTTTTTTATTAATTTAGTATAATCTAATAGAATTCTTTTGGCAACACTATATTCATAGACATTACCTCATTATTCAGTACCTAAGAACGTATATCATAGTTTCCAACTCTTCAATCCCATTAATATTGTAAACGAAAAGGTTTCTAAGGGTGGATATATGAATGTTTATTCATAAACATGCCAGAACAGCTTGATATTTATATTATAGATTTTTCAAGGATATATTGATGGACAAAATAGATATTACCTCGGCCCAAGGGGCGGGTAAAAGGAAGTAATTAACGTACGAGTTATATTATGAGTTATATATGTGAGTTGTATACGACTTATGCGTAGAACAAAGTTACATGTTATGATCAGTTTACCGGAACGCTTTTTTTGTACATTTGGAGTTAACTGACCTATATTTTCTACTCGGATTTTTTTTTTGAAAATTCTTCGTAGTTACTCGTCTCTACTACTGGTCCAAAATGAATAAATAGTTGAAAATTTAGCCCTAAACCCACAAAAAAATGTGTTTTAGTAACGTGATCATGTGTAACTTTATTCTACGCATTGGTTTATTTGTTCCGCCAGACATAATAGATCGATTTATCTAAAATGTGTTTGTATTTAGAAATATGTAAGAATCATAGAAGAAAAATATGTAGGAATTAGCGGTTGGGTTACCATAGCAAAGGCTCTGTGTCTCAATCAAGGTGATTTCGTACTGTTATTTATACTGGTATGTTTTTGAATACGATTCAATCTAACGTCAAACAGATTCCTACCTATAATATTAGATAGGTACTTTACCGTAGGTTTTTTATATTGTGAATTAAGGGTATCAAAATTTTATTTTGAAAATTTCTTAGAACGAAATTCGAATGACATTTCTCCTGAAATATAAGAAATCAAAATAAGGATCTCATAATACTTATAAGCGAAAGACGAATCAAGCTAGTGTATATATAAAATACGTTCGGGCAACATGTACAATTGTATAAAGTTACTGATAAGCTAGTATATAATATACAGTGCTAGTGGATAAAAAGTTCAGTAACAATTTATTAATCTTGGTATGGAAATGTGATGTGAAGAGATCAGCAAAATGCGGTGTAATAACGAGTTTTACGTATAAAAGTTGACGATTACATGAGTTGAGGACGATCAAAGATGATGGACTGTGTGAAAGAGGATTTGGCTAGAAAGGGAGTAAGCAGTGAACTGACAGAGTTGGGCAAATTTGGAAAAGAAAACTCGCTGCAAAGATATGATAATACCGTCAGTGCGAGAAGATTGCGAGTGCGCCGTGTAGGTTTTTTTTAAAGACAATTCCTTCGCTACCTAGAAATAAATCCTGTGTCGCAGGTGACTTTATAAACATACATAAAACGGACACAAATAACACCCAGACTCGAAACGACAATCTGTAGATCACACAAAGTGTCGTCCCATGAGTCCCATCACAACCCTCAGCGTAGGGGGTTGGCCACTGCTTAAACCACTATGCCATCTGTGCAGCATTGACATTTATTATTCATAGTCGTAGCATATTATTAATCATAGTTCAAATTATGGTGGCCAGATAACGGTATTATTATTTTGGCTCTACATATATAAGTTAAAATTGCCTGATTTAATGACAGGTGGTTCAACATATATGAAAAGCAGTGGCAGTATTATAGTGTGAGCAAGATTTCAAGATTTATGCAACTTGTAAGATTTCGTATGCAGGTATGTACTTCATAAATTACTTGTACTTTGAAACTGGGAGACATCTTGCATCATCAGCATGATGGTAGATTTATCGAGTAGTATGGTAACAGAGCGCAAAAGAGAAGATAGATGGTGTTGCAAGCATGTTCGTATTTTCAAGCTATGCTTGTGTGGGAACTTAGTCATATGGCCAAACTAATGCATAACTCCTCCACATATGTCCATTACATACCATTACATATAAAACGTGTTTAGGGTCATTTTCCATTTTGAGTCCGTAAGCTGACGTAAGCGACATTTTGCTTACAAAATTTTTGAGTTTTTCTACTTTCTTCCTTAATTTTTTTTCTATTCTATCCTATCCTACCCTATCCGACCCTATCCTATCCTATTGTTAGTGATAGTTAATATATCCTGCAATCAGAAATTAATTTTACTATATAGGCTAGCTTAACTTGTTGATGCTGTTCACAGTACGCCCTCCGCTATTGCATCGAGCAGTCCATGGCGATGTTTGTGAACATGTGCGAGACGCCGTGCTTATGCACTTATGATTGCCAAGACGACTTCGAGTGGAATTCCAACGACCTCATAAACTCGCCTTTCCGTTCCGTCATAACGCTGTTCTATTTCCATCTCTTGATGTCTGATGATGGGCCTTACTACACCACAGATCCGGCACAATTTGAGGTAATCTAAAAGTGCAGTGGGCTTTTAAATTAAATTCTACTCATGAAAAGCCTTCAACAGTCCAATGCTGGATAGGTATAGGCGATTTTGGCCTACTATATCACACTGACCAGATAGGTTGGTTTGTTTTGTTTGTTAGGAGATAGGTAGGTTTGTTTCAAGTTTTCCTTCTCTTTGCACTGCTGTGTGCCTGCAGAGTTTTGTCCCACAGAGTTAGGTCCCTTAGTCGACTCTTATGACTCGTACTCCCACTTAAATTCTACTGAAATTCACAAAATCTTATGATTCTGGTTGTAGGTAGTGATCCAGCGGCTTTTTCGTGAGATGCTGTACCGGAGTCATTCCATAAAGCAAGTACACCCCATGATCTTGACTGGAATAGTTTTCGATAAGGACTTGTACCTCACATCAATCGGTAAGCAAAAATGGGGTATTAAATGCAAAAATAATGTTTTTCAATTAAACGTTGAACGCGTTGATCCGAAAACAAAGCATTCTCCACCTTTATACATACTAATGTTTAGTATAGATATCTAAAGCCGGAAGAAGAATGAAAAGATTTTTCATTATTTTACTTTAATTAAAGAAAAAGAAATGTAAAATAAAAAAAGGGGAGAAAAACCCACATGAGTACTTTCAAGTCCAGCGAATAATTTAGGATGGACGATGCAATTAAAACAACTATTAACTGTTTAAAAGAATAAGGAATGCTTAATCCAGTGCGAAATACAATAAAGAGCCAAAGTTCGAAAATTGGGAGTTCAATATGACAGAAGAAGTTGATATGATGAGACGGCAATATTAGGAAAGAGATATTGCATACCCCCTCCCCCTTTCCCCCATATTTATAAAGTGTTAAAGAAGAGTGAAAACCATCAATTTTTTTTATTTAATTATTGTCTGTTGAAACTTATATCATTTATTTCCCTCCCATAAATGTAACTACCTCATTCTTTCTCAGCATCGCCCAATCGGTCGACTGCCAGAAAATGCCTTAGGCATTAAGTCCGCCGATGCATTTATTTCTGCAAAAAGTTATAAAATAAATAAAAGTTCACTGACACACAGCATTAAGCTATTGACTATTTTAAAACTGTGGTGACGCTAAAATGCAGCAAGGCATCGATATCAAACAGGTTAATGCTAATCAATCAATCAATCAATGATTATGAATTTATCACCGAAATGCCAAGTAATAGGTTCACATAGTTCACTAGTTCTGATTTACTTCAGGTTTAAATGAGCCGAACGTGGCAGAATACAGGGAGAGACTCCTTAAAGCGTATAGAAAGGCTATTATTCCGCTGAAGGCGTACTTGCGACAGTACAGAGAGTACAGGGACATCTACAAGCTAGATATTGAATCCTACGTCCAGTAAGTTAAATTACATCCATACTTATTTAATTTTAATTGTGAAAGTGGATTTTTTGGTTTGTTACGCTTTCACGCCTAAACCACTAATCCAATTTTAAAATATATTTTCCTGGAAAGAAGCATATGTTACTCGCTGGTAATGTAGCTTACATTACCAGCGAGTAACATATGCTACTGTTTACCGCGATGACCGACATACACGCGGGCGGAGCCGCGGGCATAAGCTAGTATGTAAGTACATGATGTGGTAATACAAGTTTAATTTAATGCGAATATGCATAAAAAAATTGCATCATAAAAATATGCAAATTTAACCTATTATATATTGTTACGTGTTAGGGTTCGTTGATTTGAGATAATAAACCTGACGACTAAAAAGACTTTATTATTACTACACTGAAGACGTTCAAACAATACTAAATAATAGTCTGGATTGATCGCCGCGGTCGTTAGGTTACACTTAGATAGTTTCGATGTTTATCGCACTGTAGTTCGAATTGAATTGTCGCCGGCAAAGACGTGCCCGTATTTATACGAGTACTACTCGCCAGACGACTAGAAAGTTCATTCCGTCAAATTCGAATCCTTATGAGAACTTCCGGTTTCGTAGACATACGAGTAGATGTTAAATAAAAAAAAGATAATTATGCGACATCCTATTTTCGATCTTGTGTCTATTATTAATAAAATTATTCATGCACGGTTCGATGAAGTCTCTCTTTCTTTCTACAAATTTCGTGCTATTATTTACAAAGTCTTCTATAAAATCCTAAAACGCTTCAAAGTACTATCCTAAAATAAGTTTTCCCTAACTCTTAAAGATTGCTTAATTGCTAATACATTTTATTCTTTAAAGCTTTTTAAGACTTTGTAGAAGACTAACGCATATCGCGTAACTATTTTGCCCTGTATGAGATATGTTAATTTATTATTATGTTTTACTGGCGTCATCGAATAACATATCCGTTCAAAATACCGCAGGACATGTGCCGAAGGAGCATCCACTCCTAAAATAAGTATTTCAGCATTATTTGTACTAAGAGATGTATGGTTAGATTACAACCATAATTTATGATATGTTATTTGAGACCGATATTGATGTTATTCACCGCTGTATAATGCTGTTTTAATTTATAGAGTTTATCATTGAATTTATTCTTTAAGTTAACGCAGCAAGAGTAGATATATAGTAGGCCAAAACCTCCTTTCTAAGCCGCGGCCTATGTCCAGCAGTGGACTGTTAAAGGCTGTTGATGATGAGTAGATATATATACCCAATTTAAATTGGATACTATTTGATTCAGGAATTTTCGTGAAGAAATGCACTCTCACACAGAAACTAGAGCCGAGATTCAGGCTCACTATGACGCTAAGCAGCTACTCATTGAGCGTTTACCTCAGTATATTAATATCGGACCTTTCGCAGTTAACGTTGACTCGCTTAAGGTATTTAAATACGCTTTACTTCACTTCACTTTGTATTGATTTTAAATAAGACGGTTGACTTTAAGTGATCACCTCGCCGCTTTCTGCTGCTTTGAGTACTGGTTCGATCACCACAAGGGACAACACTTTGTGTGATCCACAAATTGTTGTCCTGAGTCTGAGTGTTATTCATGTTCCTTTCATAAATGTGTGTAAAGTCCCTTGCGACACAGGATATATTCCTAGTGCGAAAGTTGTTTTTAAAAATAAATAAAAACTATACATCAAAAAGCGAGCATTTAAACACAAACCTTCAAGAAAAGAGCGTAATCCTTTCTAAAAGGCTGGCAACGCGTTGTGACTTCTGAGTTGCAGATGTTCATGGATGGCGATAGTCACTTTCCATCTAATATAAAAAAATAAACGTATTTTTAATTTCTTCTCGTTTTGCAGCAACAACTTGTAACAAAACGGTCGGATATAATGAAGGCTTTGCTTGTGATGTGGTGCGAGGAGGCACGTCTTGTGGTCGATGACGTTATAGAGGCTTACAAGGCTATTATGCGAAAGTTAGGAGAGAAACCCCACACTATAGAGCACGTGTTTGAGATAAGAGAGTGGATGGAATCAATACCGTTTGCATTAAAGACGCAAGACGACATTATGAAGAAAGTACACACGGTAAATAATTACGATTGCGTAAGGGAAGTGTACTAGAGTGGAAACCGCGATTAGGCAAACGTTATGTAGGGCGCTCTGCGGTACGGTGACGACCGACGATAGAGAAAAGATCGGGAAGGTTGGCGCTCCTTGGGGAAGGCCTTCGTTCAGCAGTGGACGGCTGATGATGATGGAGGGATAATTAACGTAATGCTATGTATGAGCATGTTTAAGGGTTACTCTGGCCGAAAATCTTTCAGAACAGTGTCATCATCATCATCAGCCTATCGCAGTCCACTGCTGGGCATAGGCCCCTCCCATTGCACGCCACTTAGATCTTTTTTTTTTTAACCTGGTCGAATAGTCAAGCAGTGCAAAGTCAAACAATAGCCTTAATTCTCTTTTATGTCACAAAATATCATGTAATACAAAACTTTAAAGTTATGAGTAAAGAGCGAAAATAGTAACAAAAATTATTTTGCATTGCTCGTAGAAAGGCGACGGCAACGGAAACATGGCCTAATCCCCCTCCCCCAGTTCTGGAGGGGGGCAAACAAAGTACGGCAATCTAAATGCGTCTCATATTTATATTGAGTTGCAGGTGTGCATAAGCGCTGGTAGTCATTTACTACCAGGTGACCTGTTTGCTTGTTTTCCATAAAAACAAACCAGACCAGAACTTGTGGTAACGATGTAGTAATAATTGAAAATAAAAAACGTTGTAGCTAAATTGTCATTTGTTTGCAGAACTATGAAGTGCTCGAAGTGTTTTTCTATGCTATGGACAACGATGACTTTAAAGCGCTATGGGAAGCTATAGGCTGGCCGTTAAATATTAACAAACAGGTCAGATGTAGTGTCATGAACTAATTTTCATCTTTAGTAATTTATCTTACACATATATTCATGCATATAAATTAACTTGCCCTGTCTGAGTGACTAATTCATCAATTCTAAACCGCTGAGGCTACAAACTTGAAATTTTGGCAGTTGATGCTTTTTATGTTGAAAGCATCCACTAAAAGAGTGTGTTTTTTCTGTGTGGAAATTATCTCGGATACCCACCAGATAATTGTGGTCATGGCGAGAGTGAAAGCGTGTGGTTGTGAAGGAGCCGGAACCATGCCTGCATGAGTCATCGGGTCCTCTCATGTAGGGCAGTAGTCGCGTCAATGCACGCGCTTTTCCAACCAGCTAGGGGACCAGACCTCGGAAATGATGTCCGAAATCCCACCGGCCATCGAGTACGAGCCCTACTGAGGTTTGATCCCTCAAGTGGCATTCTCCGAGGCCCATGAAAAAACAAGGCCTCATATTTGTGCAGAACCACCGCGAGACCCAGCCGCCAAATCCACTCCAAACGTGGCCCTCAGGGTTGCCTCACGGTGCGTCTTGCCGTCACGAGCGTGTCATCCGCATAACACGTGATTACGACACTATCCAGGAAGGCACTACGAAGCAGCAAGACGTAGCCGATGTTCCACAGGAACGGCCCTAACACCGACCTATGTAAAACACCGCACGACATTTTATAACGACCAAGACCGATCCTACTTGGTTAAATGACGGCTCTCTCCGACAAACATGCTCTAACTGTAGAGAGGTACTTCGTAATACACGAGCGCCTCCCTGATGCAACTCCAAGGCAAAGTGTTGATCGCGTTGGCAATGTTCAAGGACACCGCCAAAAATCCTTCACCCCGGTAAACTACTTCCTCCACCCGCCCTGCCCCTGATGGAAACCATGTTAGTTATTTAGATCCGGCCCTACTGTGTTGAGGTGCTTGACGAGCCACCATGCAGTTTGTACACCTCGTCAAGCAATACTATCGGCTGGTAGGCGGATGGTGAGTTCGCCATGCCCCGCCTCCTTTCGGATGAGGACCAGTCCTCGTCTTCCATAATTTCGGTAACTGGTCCTGCTCGTGGCATGCACTGAAGAGCTCTCTCAATCGGGGCTCGAGAGCTAGGGCCAGGACCCACGCTCGGCCTGGAACGCCAACGGGTCCCGGGGTTGCGTTTTTGGCTTTAAGCCGTCACACCGTCAACTCTAGTTTTACCAAAGTGACCTAAGACATGTCGTCATCCACGTTAGGCGCCTTGGCGCCGACAGCCAACGCCATCTGTGGTGGAGTGTGCTCCTCGACGCCCTATGGGAACTTGGAGCCGACGAACCCTCTCAGCCCCCTCAAGCAGCTCTGACTGAAGACACCGGGTCAGCAGCGAGGCCCATGGGCGCATCTTAGAAATTTCTTCCTTAAGGGACGAATGGTAGTATGGAAGTTCGCCATTTTCAACGTTATAAACACGAAATAAGAAATAATCATGGGAGCGAAACCTCGGGCAATAGCTATAGTCCATCAACGTCGTGCGCGACCGTCCTGCATGGTGACAGACGGTGGCGGGGACGAGGTACTCAAGATGTCAGCGGGTAGCGGGTGGTGTAGCGGGGAAGGGAAATACTTCACTTCGTGTGTAGCCGTGTGCTAGAATGACGCGCTACCTCGCCCCCGCCACTGTCTGACACCCCGCGGGACGGTCGCGCACGAGATTGCCGGGTTATAGTTTATTATACGAGTGCAGTTCTGTATAAAAAACTGTAGTCATGACGTAAATTAAACTGTATGCTAAGGTGATGTTAGAAATGAAGCGTACGAAGGAACGTTACTTAAGAACATACCAAAACAAAATGGCATGTTTTAAGAAAATTCAATTCAGTACCTGGAACCACAGCCATTGATCAATAAACATTAAATATACGAGTAGATTGTTAAATTAAGAGTTCTCATCTTTAAGTGTATCGTCCGGGTTGGGTTGTGAACATTTGGTTCATAGTCCTACGACTACTACGGTTATTTCGCTACCACAGTTTTAAACCGTCTGACATGCAAATAGGTGGAAGCCACTATCCTGTTTCTAGAAGAAGAACAGGAGAAGTTTTGGAAACTGCACCAACAGGATGAACAAGTTCTGTACGACAAGATAGATTTATTCTCCCAGCAATGCATGAACCTCAGTCTGCAGTACGACTTCTATAAGGTAAGATTAATATAGTTATTGGAACAAGAACTGGATTCTTGTCGGTTGATTAACTTTTTTAGCAGTTTTAGCTGGTGACACTCCGTAGTTTTAATCCATCACTACACGGATTATCATTCTTAGTGGGTATCATATTTCTCCTGGAATTATCTAACACTGCAAATTTAACCAGACCTGCTTGTGATGAGTTCTATAGTACAGAATTAAGCCTGAGTTAAAACCGGTGCTGAATCCGTTATGGTCAATAGATAACGAGTAGTAACTATAAGAATAGGCTGTCAAAGAAGCCAGAAAATCTAAATTATTATTGTCGATCTGTAGGTGCATGAAATAGCCAACGATATAAAGAAAGCGTGGAAAGCCATGAAGGACTCCCAAGAATGGGGTCGTGTCCTTAACGCGCGTCAGAAGCTATTTGGACAGCCCATTGTCCCTTTTACCGAACTTAATAAACTGGTTAAGGAGTTTGAACCCTACAGGAACCTATGGGTTACAGCTTCAGGTACGTAGCTGTAATATTTGTATTCTACGCACTTAATGTAAGAAAATGGAGAACTCACTTTAGACTAGAACCACAAAAATAATTTTGCCGTGTAATGTGTCGATCGAACGCGACATGAACAAGTCTTCGAGATGTGACATTTATAAATATTGCATGATTTTTGCCTGCATTTCCATTGAGGGACCATACTTAAATTTTGAGCTTTTGAATACGTCGGCTTTTAGTAAAATTTCTCAAATAATTGTAAATTCAGCCTCCAGTTTTTAAAAGTAGCCACTCGAAAGTTGTAAACGGTCAAAGTCGTGACTGATAGGCATCTATGTCTCATAACCTAGTTAAAATTTACAACTGCTATAAAAGTAAAAGATTTGTAAAACTAATTTATTAAATATCAACCTTTCCCGTCCACTGTATAAAAACAACTAGCAGAAGGTGGGCCTCAACCGATCAGCGTAAGTTTACCTTGAGTATAGACCACAATGGAATTTGGAATTTTGAATTCTTTTACTAACGTAAAAGAATTCGAAATTCGATTGTAAATTCACCCTCTAGTTTGTAAAAAAGCTTTTCAAAAGTTGAAATTGAGAATTTTTGTTTTTTGATTTAGGGGGAACATGAGGATGGATGATTTGCCAGAAAACTTTGTGTAAAGGATAGGTAACGGGGCTTCCAAAAGAAAAGTTTAGCGAGACATTTTATCCCTCCGCTCCAAAACATAAACAAGTCCTTTCGGGGTCAATTTGTAAGATTCTATAATAAAATCCCAAATAGTACTCATACAAGAATTTGGTCTAAACAAATTTAGATCCATAATGAAACGTAAACTATGTCAGAAGGCCTATTTCTCAATTGTGGATTACATAGAAGACAAGAATGCTTGGTATTAATTTAGCACAGGCTATTTCCTAGTGGAAATGTGATGTGGGCTAGTGTCTTAAGTTTTCAATTTTTTTTATGTTTTACTTCACTTTCTTTTCATACCATTTTTTTCTAAATCTTATTTTCTCTTCATTGCCTTTTTACCTTTTAGTCCTTAAAACTTACATACTGGCTCACATCAAAACAATGTTGCGTATATTTAATGATGCCATTGTTATCTGTTGATTGAAAAGAGTGGCCGTGAGTTTGTTTGCCCTTTCTTCTCATGAGGCTCATTCCCTTGGAAATGGACGGTTGTAGATCGGCTCAGGCATATAAGAGATTTTCGATACGTATATATTTAGGCTAAATATTTGACAAATCAGAGATTGTCGCTATTGTGTGTATTGATCTATGAAGTTATTTAAAATCGTTATTTGATATCGTCACTTGTGTAGTCTACACAAGTGACGATTTCAAATAACGTTATTTTTTTTATGAAATAAAGATATTTGAGTTTGAGCTATTATATTATTTCGTTTATTTAACTGAGTGAGTAAGGTTACCGGAGGCCAGGCTGACCAACCTTTCCCTTCCTGATACTTGGGAGCACACTCTTATGACTCTTTAGTAGCATATCCTCACGAGGGACGGTAGTTGCTTACTATCAGGTAACCTTCTTGCTGGTTTCCCACTATATTATTATAAAATATATTTTGTAGACTTCCTGAAATCTCGCGAGATATGGCTAGACAATCCATTAATATACGTAGACGCTGATTCAATAGAGCCAACAACCAATGAGTACTATAAGACTATCATCAAATGTATCCGTACGTTCGCGGACTTGCCCAAAGTCCAGAATGTCGGTAATGTCATAAGGGTGAGTGTGCTTTCTATTCCTTCCGTACAACAATTACATTCCAAACGTGATTATTACACAACGATCAACTTTATTAACTTTGTTTGATCCAAAGTTATTTTATCTTTATGTTTATAGATTCTCATTCTCATTTCAAACTCACTGTTGAGTTTATTTTTAATATCAATCATTTCTTTGGATGCATCTATTAGAATCATTTAGTGTTATCACACTGTATCTTAGTTCAGGCTGATTTAAAGCTGTGTCATCAGAATGAACCTCTAAGAGATCATTTCCACAGTAGATGATTCGCTAGGGGACTGAGAGTCGTTATTCCCATTTGTGAAATGCTCTTTACAATCATTATTGTCATTTGTTCCATTAATGTTTCTATTAAATTAATTAATTTCAAGAAACGATACATCTCGACTATTAATGCAATTATTTGGATTTTCATTGTCTAATAGTTTATAGCCCTTAGAGTTTTCGCAATTTCCAACGAAAACGTATGATTTACCTTTGGATTCTAGGTTACTTCGATTGTGTACATGACAGTACGCAATACAACCAAAAGTACGCAAGTCTGAAATGGATACCTTGTTATTTGTCCATAAGACCTCTGGAGTACACCCTTTCATGGCCAATGTGGGAGAACGGTTCTTAAGATAGGTAGCCGTATTCACAGCTTCAGCCCTATATTTGTGGCCAAGGCCTGCTTCGTACAGCATACAACGTGTCTTCTCAATTATACTTAAATTGCCTCTCTCTGTTGCTTACTTTTGTTGAGGGAAGTAAGGTATTCACAGTTGTTTATCATGTCCGTACTATTGTCACTACGAATAATTTTAAATTTCCTATTAGTCTGGTTTTCTACTAGAGCTTTCCAAGCTTTAAATGTATCACTGTTCACTACAAAAAAGAGATTAGTACGTATATAGTGTAATTAATTTTGCTTTTATTTTATGTCAGAATGCTATAGATGAGTTTAGACCTTTGATTCCAATAATCCAAGCTGTGAGGAACCCGGGCATGAAAGAGAGACACTGGAACGAGTTTATGGAGAAATCTGGTAAGGCGTATTATAGTGTGCCAATGAAAAAAATAACGCTAAGTATACAAATAGTTACAGAACAATGGTTTAATATAATACACCTTGATTTTTTTAGAAACAAACTGAATTTGAAAATAATTAGGTAAATAAATAACGTATATTTTAAATAGATAAAACCATAGTTAATATTAAACTATAATAAACAGAAGGTAATTAATGCAGCAACACTATTATTGCCGCATTAATTACCTTCTGTTTCTTATTCATTATTTTTTTTACTTAGGGTGTATTTGACAGTTTGTTCAACTCAAAACGCGGATACGTGGTGAGCGTCCTACGTGGACATTCCGCGTGGATTCAGCGCCCACGTCTTTGCGTGTTTAATGGGAATTTGAATATTATTGCTTAGTAAATAGAATTAAAGTAACAAGTAAACATTTGATATTAAAATATAATAAAACGATGCGGACCCGTAGATCGTATAATGGTCTCTAACAAAACTGTTGCCAACCAATATTGTTAATAATTGTTAACCAATCGAGAATCTATGAAGTGTGAAGTGACGATGGCAAATTTGTTTTCAACCTTCCTACTACCGTTAACTATTTAATTTCAATTTAGGTATAACGGTGACTATGAACGAAAAGCAAACCTTCCAAATGTGTATTAAGCAAGGCGTTGCGCAGCACGGGGAACTGATCGCCGAGATCGGTGAGCTCGCCACCAAGGAATACGTCATCGAACAGTCCCTCGACAAAATGTTAAGCGAATGGGCCAACAAGTCTTTCGAATTGACGCCTTACAAAAATAGCGGTAAACCACATTTTCGCCTTTTAGTTGTAATAAGTGTTGTTACATCATTTTTATTATCAACTGGGTCAATCTTTAATAGATCGTGAGACAGTTCACGATTTAATAAAATAAATTAGTAAACAGTATTATGACTAATCGCACTGGTGGTGGACCGCTATTGGTCCGTCTGGAAATGGTGGCAAATGATGGGTCATAATATGCTAGGCGTCCATTACAAGTTTGATAACATTCATTTGAGTGAAGATAGAGGTACGAATGACATTGCGGTTACTTTAAATTTAAAAACATAGCTATTAGGTACCCGTACTAAGTACCCGTATGACTTTCCCCTATTTATTTATGCACCACTAACATGCCGTAATAGAGATTGATGAATGACATTAAGTTGTGGGTCAATAGAAAATCAGCAACGTTTTTTTACAGTTATAGCAATTAGTGGCTAAAATACACAACATTTTCGTCAGGTACACACATTATGAAGATAGCTGACGAGACCTTGCAATTGTTGGATGAGCATCTCCTAGGCACCCAACAATTAGGGTTCAGCCCGTTCAAGGCGGCGTTCGAACTGCGCATCCAGGAGTGGGACGACAAACTACATCTCACCCAAAAAGTGGTCGAGGAATGGATCGAGTGCCAGAAGTACTGACAGATACAGCTTCTATACCATTGATCTATTTTTGGACATGATGAACGGTTTAACTAGTTGCGCTTACATTTTCAGAGAATGGATGTACTTGGAACCGATCTTTGGTTCGGAGGATATATCTCGACAGCTGCCTTCAGAAGCAAAGAAGTATGGCACCATGGAAAGAATCTGGCGACGAATTATGTCGTCGGCTGTGGCTTGTCCTAAGGTAACTACTAACAGAATGCATGGGTGAGGTACTCTACTATGAGAAACAAAATTTCTAGGTGATTTTTAAAAAATAGTTATGTCTTGTTTTATGACTTTTTACTAACACAGTTAATATCCAAACATGCGAAATTAACCAAAGCCAGAATAAAACCATTGTCAATTCCAATTAAAGGATCATCATCATCATCATCATCAGCCTATCGCAGTCCACTGCTGGACATAGGCCTCTCCCATTGCACGCCACTTAGATCGATTTTGGGCTTCTCGCATCCAGCTCCTGCCAGCCATCTTGCGCAAAAATTAAAAGATAGTTGAAGTTAATTTGTACGAAGCTTGAATCAAGTTCTGTAATTACAACCGTACATTTCCTTTTCGATCACTTCATCGGTGGAATTATGTATAGGTGACACACGGTCCATAACAGTTCAAATTCTCTTCTCAGTTGAGTAAGAAGGCATACGGTATCCGATTTTTGTAATGCACTTTTTGCCCACAGATAATGGTAATATGTCCCGACAGTCGTCTCTTGGATAGTTTGGTGGAGGCACGGCATCTCCTAGACGTGGTGTACCGAGGCCTGTACTGTTACATGGAACTGAAGCGGCTACGCTTCCCGCGGTTCTTCTTCCTTAGCGACGACGAACTACTCGAGATTTTGTCGCAGTCGCGTAACCCTCGCGCCGTGCAGCCACATCTCAGGAAGTGCTTCGAGAACATAGCCAAGGTAACAGGGATTCACATTATTTATAGTATACCCATGCACAATGGAAATAGAATAGAAATCTAGTCATTAATTTAAAGAGTTAGAGCAAAGTATGTTTGTATTTTAATTAGATGCATGTGCTGTTGTTGCCGCGGATGTGATGCGTTAATAAATAATATAAAACTTTTTAACAAAAAAGTTAAAACGCCGAAAAAACTAAAAAGCATAAAATATTAAACCTTTTTATTTAACCTTAATAACTAAGTTCTTAAACTAATGTAAGTATACCTAAGTAATTTTTAGGGGACGCCAAACAGTATGTCGGGGCACCAGGGACTTCCTTTCTAGGGTATACCTGGTTCCCCGGCTATTGGTACCCGAGACGGCGTGCGGTTTTAGTCGGTTCGAGGCCGAAATGCCACCGATAGGTGGTATCCGAGGGGATTTCCGCACGGAAAAAAAAAAAAGGGACGCCAAACAAGCAAATTCGATATGCCTTCGCCGGAAAATGCCGAGCGTTCACGAAGTTAATATCAGCGAGAGAGTAACCCGAACAGGTACACATGGTTGCGAGTGGTCGTGCGGAGAGCGCATTTTTTGGAATGTTAATGTTTATCGCTGGAGATTACACGTTGCATTGTAGATTTGGTTATTTCTTTAAATTTAAGATATTTAAGTGATCTTTGTTAATTGATTAAAAATTACTTAGGTATACTTACATTAGTTTAAGAACTTAGTTATTATGGTTAATTAAAAACTCAAAATAATTCCAAAACATATAATACTTATTTATTTTACTTTATAAAACGAATAATTAAAGTTTTTATAAATTTGCCTTATCTGTTCTAAAAAACAGCGAAACGTAGGCCAAAATAAGCACATAACATGAGCACCATTCAGCAGCATTCATATAGAGATGTAACACTATTGATAATTTTTTTATTTTAAAATACTCAACTAAATTCCTAAAACTTCAAAAATATAGGTGACATTCCAACCGGACCTGAAGATAACCCACATGCACTCGAGCGAGGGAGAAATCGTAGAGCTGAGGTATCAATTTTACCCTTCGGCTAACGTGGAACAGTGGCTACTACTGTTAGAAGATACTATGAGAAATACCAGTAAGTAGCAGGACGCACAAACGGTTTTGCGTGTTTTTATTTATGGACTTGTTGTTCATACAGTATTGTAAAAATGAAATGATTCACATTGAGAATTCACAACCTGCATTAGTTTATTTTATAGAACAAGAGCCAAACGAGCAGACGGGTCACCTGGTGGAAAGCGACAACTGCCGACCATGAACGTATTCAACTCAGAAGTCACAAATTCATCCAAAGCTTCTAAGACCATTTTAGACGAGTAGATTTTGATATTTTAAGTTAGGTTTATAGAAATCAGATACCCAAGTGTGAATCAAAAGGTAGTTGTGAATCGAATGCCGGTTTAAACCAATCTTACGGTTTCTAGTTCGTCTCACGCTTATTGATGGTCTGGAGGAACTGTGGCAAATACCCCGCGCGGCGTGGGTTCTGCGTTGGCCGGGACAGGTGGTGATAGCAGGGTCACAGACGGCCTGGACGGCGGGTGTGGAGAACTCCATACTAGAGTATCGCGTGGAAGAATACTTTGATGAAATGTTACAACAGGTATAAAAACTAAAATAGTAAATCAGATTAAACTATACCTATACTATACCTAACTATATCTACAGAGCTATCTAGACACACATCCCTGCGCAAGGATGACACGCAAAATCGTGAAGCGTTCCACATTTTTATCGGACGCGAGGTGACAGCACAATGCCAGCACTGCGCAGCCGACTGGGACTCCGCCCAGCACACGCTGGAAGACTGCCCCGCGTGGGCGTCTGAACGCGAAGTCCTGGTCGGCCAAATCGGAAGAGACCTGTCCCCACCAGCAATCATTGCTGCCATGCTGGCGGGTGAGGAGGGATGGGGCGCAGTGGTCTCTTTCTGTGAAGCTGTAATGCTCCAGAAAGAGACCGCTGAACGGGATCGGGAGAGGGCCGATCCTGAGCGTAGAGGACGTCGGCGACCATACCAGCCGCCGACGGGGCCGCGGGCCGCCAGAGAGTGGGGACCTCTGGTCGCTGATTGAATGTTGCGGTAGGGGATAGGATGGCGGCCTGATTGCATTAAGACGAAATTGGGCCGCCACGTCGCGATTGAGGGGGGAAGTGATATTCCCCTGGGATAGGGCCTGACTAGGCATGGTGTCAATTCGGGGAGGACCTGAAATAACATGGTCCGGGTCCTCCCAGAGTAGGGCACCTGAGGCCGGCCGTCGGGGTGGTTTTTAGTGGAATCACCACATACTCCTAGCTCCTAGCCCCGAGGAGCAGGAGATCCGAAGGGATTTTCCACCCCGTCAACAAAAAAAAAAAAAAAAAAAAAAAAAAAAAAAAAAAAAAAAAAAAAAAAAAAAAAAGACACAAAATTAGTTTAACTTTCTCCATGAGCTCGAAAACTAAACATGAAACATACAAATATTTTTTATGAATACAGAAGAATACAAAAGCTGTAAGTTACTTTTTATGTTACGGAGTTTGTTTTAAGAATTTCGGGTGGTCTTAAAATTGAAAATACTTAATACGATTTGTTCTCTTTAGTTCGATCCATCAATTCAATCGTCGAACTAGTGAGATTTTTTTTCTCATTAGTTCGACGGTCGAACTAGTGAGAATTAAAAATGTCTCACTAGTTCTACTGCGTTTAATTCGGAATAAAACATAAAACTAGTTCGACAATCGAACTTAGGGGAACAAACCCTAAATACCTGACGGGCCTGTTGGTCTGGTGATTCGTGACCCTGACTGCTAATCCGGGCTTAGCAGTCAGGGTCACGAACCACCTTTGATCGTGGTTTCGATTCCCTCCCACAAATATTGTGTGATGAGCACGGTCTTTTTTTTTTGTATCTTTATGTGTAATTTATCTAAAATATGTATGTATTTAAATATATCAGCAGTCTGGTTACCATAGTACAGGCTCTGCCTAGTTTGGGATCTGACGGAGATGAGATGAGTGTGAGATGTGTGGGGTATATTATTATTATAACTTATGAACAGATTCCTTTGATTCTGATTTTTTTTCTCATATAGCTGGAAAGTCTCCGCGCCCTGGTCAAAAGTGATCTGACGTTTTTCCAGCGCGAAGTATTATGCGCTCTCATCGTTATCGAAGTACATGCGCGTGATGTTACAGACACTCTCGTTAACGAGAACGTGCGCAACGTGTCAGACTTCCAATGGATCTGTCAGCTCAGGTATGCTTTCTCATATATCTGTGACTAGCCGACCCGCGCAACTTCGTCTGCGTCTCTCAATAGTAATAAATTTTCTCCGTTTTTGAAACATTCTTCATTGGTGCTCCACTCCTATTGGTCTTAGCGTGATGATATATAGCCTTCCTCAATAAATGGGCTATCTAACACTGAAATAATTTTTCAAATCGGACCAGTAGTTCCTGAGATTGGCGCGTTCAAACAAACAAACAAACAAACTCTTCAGCTTTATAATATTAGTATAGATGAGTTGGACAAGCGCTATTTAACTGACTGCACGGATGGCGTAGTGGTTTAAGTGGTCGCCACGCCGCTTCCTACTACGCCGAGTGTTGTGGGTTCAAACCCCACATGGGACAACACTTTGTGTGATCCACAAATTGTTGTTCTGAGTCTGGGTGTTCTTTGTGTCCGTTTCATGTATGTTTGTAAAGTCCCCCGCGACACAGGAATATATATTCCTAATACGGGCGTTGTCTTTTTAAAGAAAAAAAAACAGAAAAAAACAAAAAAACCTTGGTAACTTCTAATCCTGCATTACACAATAAACTTTACCATACATTTTACCATCACTTAGTCGGGATGACCTGTCGTTTGTATCAAATAGGAAACATTGGGATTCAAAGCAATGCATTCGCTCAATTTTATTGTTAATAATGTGTGTGGAAATCAAATCATGATTTAATGCCAATTTCTGGGGTCTGGTTCTCTAAAAAATAATAATCAATAAAGAAATGATTGAAATGAATTTACCGTGGGAGAGCCATGCTTCGGCACGAATGGGCCGGCTCGACCGGAGTGATACCACGGCCTCACAGAAAACCGGTGTTAAGCAATTCTTTCGTTGCCTTTCACCGAGTGAGTGAGGTTACCGGAGCCCAAACCCCCCTCCCGCTGACTCGAGTGGGAGGTACTCCAAGGGCAGCAACGCACTTGTGACTTTTGAGTTGCAGGTGTCTACGGGCGGCGGTAGTTGCTTACCATCAGGTGACCCATCTGCTCTTTTGCCTCTTTATACCATAAAAAAAAGAAGATTCTCAGTCCACTATTTAATTTTTGGAATATTAAAGTAATTGTTAAAGTTAAGAATGAGACAATCGGTTGCAGATACTACTCGAATGTAAAGCCTATGTATCCCTTGGAGCCGGGTGAACTGCCTGAGATCTACCAAGACGAGACGCACCTGAACACGTCCGCTTACTACCGTCAGTTCAGTCAGAACACATGTGACGTGCGCGCTCTCAACTCTGTGTTTACGTACCAGAATGAGTACTTGGGTAACAGGTAAGTTGTAGATACTACTAAAATCGTTGTGTACGTATGAACATTAATTGATTTGCTACTGTTTATGTGGCCTCTGGTACCTAGCTATCGTTAGGATCCACTGCCCTTTTTTCACACATCACATCACATCAACAGCCTTTAATAGTCCACTGCTGGACATAAGCCTCTTTTTAGAAAGGAGGTTGTGGCCTACTATACCACGCTGGCCAGACGGGTTGGTATAAGGTTTGTGTCAAGTTTTCCTTCTCTCTGCAGTGCCTTTGTTCTGCGTAGTTTTCTCCTTTAGTCGGCTCTTACGACGCCCAAGGAATGAATAGGGGTGTTGATACTCTGTATTCTTAATCGGACCACAACTTTTTTGTTCCACTACATTTACACACCTACCCGCTATAGTCACCATCTGATTTCTAATCTAATAGTAACTATATTGATAACTTCAACCTTCGTTATTGCTGGCGTGCTTCACCAACAGCCTGTAATAGTCCACTGCTGGACATAAGCCTCTCCTTAGAAAGAAGGTTTTGGCCTACTACACCACGCTGGCTAGACGGGTTGGTATAAGGTTTGTGTCAAGTTTTCCTTCTCTCTGCGTTATTGCTGCTGTGCTTAGTGTATTATATTAATGTACGTATGTGTGTTTAGTGGTCGTCTAGTGATAACACCGCTGACAGACCGCTGTTACCTGACACTGATGTGCGCGATGCACCTCAAGTTTGGAGGGGCCCCGGCCGGGCCCGCGGGTACCGGCAAGACTGAGACTACCAAGGTAACATACAACGTACTAGATATCTTTGTATCTTAGCTGGCCTTATGTTGTATTAGTCGTAAGTGACATTCGTACACAAAATGAAGCTAACCTGCAATGAAATAAAGTATATTTTACCAGGATTTGGCGAAAGCTCTAGCAGTACAATGTGTTGTGTTCAACTGTTCTGATCAGCTAGACTTTATGGCTATGGGCAAGTTCTTCAAAGGACTAGCAGCGTAAGTATATAGCGATTATTAAAAAAATAAGTTAATTTGCTTATAACAAGCCAGGAATTTACTTCTCTGATCAATTGCAATAATGACTATAGCTCAGCCGTGCCAATCCAAAACACTGTAACTTTTGAAAACGACTTTTGACCTTGAAAGCTTTGTTACAGTTTTTTACCATGTTAAAACCCTTATACCCCCGTATTATTCAGATTATTGTCTCTTCTAAAATACACAAAAGTGTTGATCAGGGTACTAAACCGACGTAAAAAAATCAATTGAGCGTTATTAAGGCAAAACACTGTAAGTTGAGTTACAGTCTTTTGAATTGGCACAGCAGAGCTGTGGATTCAAATAAAAAATTAGAACAAATGTACTTAAAGTTAAGCCACTAGTGGTCGTGACGCTGTTTTGTTATTTTGCTGGTGGTCGGGAATTACACGGATAAAAGAGAATCTATTTTATTATGGTTTAAGTAACTTGTCAAAATAATGAGAATGTTCGACCTTGGAAACTCGTAAATAGATATACTAATCATGATGCTCTGAGCTATGCATTATTATCAATACTTTGACATTAATTACGTAGTCATATTTTTTCTAACGTCAACTTTAGTAAGTTTTGGTTTAAATCAGTTGTAACTTCCTTCTAAAATAAAATTCCCATAAAGTAATAGTAGCACACAAAATATAGTGATATGTAGATTACAGACATTGTGCTAAGTATCTTTGGCTTAATTTTCTCACCAGATCTGGTGCATGGGCGTGCTTTGACGAATTCAACAGAATTGATATTGAAGTGCTTTCCGTTGTAGCACAACAGGTATCCGACTTAATTTTCACTCATATACCTAGTTCTGTTCCAGTTTCAGGCGTTTGGAGAAATATAGAAATGATAACGTTTCAAATCTTGTTGTAACATTTATCAACTAGTATTATTTGTGAGAAATTACCATAAAAATGTTTAATCAATTTACAAGTGATTAAAATCTTAAATTTTATGATAAAAGCGAGGCTGCCATAGAGCTTCGGTATTTAAAGATTAATTATCAAATCTGAATTTTAGTGATATCGATGAATTAAAATAACAAACTGCTCGTCTTTTTTATATTGAATTATACCAACTGGAATAAAAATAGTCGTTTGAGTAAATAAGTACACTTTGTGTGATCCACAAATTGTTGTTCTGAGTCTGTCTGTTCTTTCTGTGTCTGGGTGTTCTTTGTATCCGTTTGAAGTATGTTTGTAAAGTCTCCCGCGACACAGGATATACTTATTTCTAACGCGCCAGATGTCTTTAATTTTTTTTTACTGATTGTGAACCTTTGAGTTACTTGAAATTTCAAGTAGGTTATACAAGCCGTTGTTTAAGACAACTGAAATTAAAACGTATATAACGTAACTGACGTTAAAACTACTTTTTAAGCGACTTAGTGTTTTTTTTATGTTTGTTACCTCTTGAACCCCATCATCTATGAACTGATTTTGTAAACTATTTTTTTATGCCACGTGTATATTTCGTATTTAGTCCCATTTCAATTGTCAGAAAAAATTCTAAAGGTGGAAAATGTTGATATAAAGAATACAGTTTACTATATTCATCAAAATGTAGGCGCATTGACGTCAAGTAAGTTTTTACTAAATGCGATTTAATAAAGGGGCTCAAGACATGGAAATAATTGCTACTTATAAATCATAATCATCTTATGAAATTATTTGTATTAGTACTGAGATTTAGATTTGGTCATAGACGAAGATAAATGATAACTTTTTTTAGATTTAGACTTTTCGCGAGTCTGACGCTAGTATATAGATCATATGATTTATAAATCATATGAATTATAACAGGTTATTGTGATTTTATTCTATCCCTAAGAGGGACTCAAGACAGTACGTCAAGTTTCAGAATCTTTAATTTATAACACAGGTGGTGACCATTCAAAAAGCGCAAATCGCCCGTCAGGATAGGTTTATGTTTGAAGGCGTGGACTTGCCACTGAAGGCTTCCTGCTCCGTTTTTATTACTATGAACCCTGGATATGCTGGTATGTTACATAAACATCATAGTCATCTCAGTAAAGTTTTGTCAAGACGACTAGAGCATGTCAGATTCCTTTTTACATTCTCCAAAAAAAGTTGGACTCAGATTGATGTCGTTATCCTGCAATTCATGATGGCAGTCATGAATTGTCCATGCTTCGGCTACGGATAGAGTTTCGAATTGAGCCTCATAATCGCCAATACGCTCGTGCGCTACGCAAAAAAACTCGGTGTGTGTCTGCCCTTTGATTGGATGGGGGAGGGTGCTACTCAACTCCCTGATCCCTTTCAGCCGTGATACACCAACCTAACAGCAATACAGTAAACAATTTTTCTTGATCATCAGTTATCTAGTAGGTAAAAATACTTCTAAAATCAAGCGGCTGAAAATATATCAAAGTTTGCTTCTTTTGTCTAAGATATCTGGCTAACCTGTACATGTGACACTTTATCATTCGCTAATGTTTATTTTAATTAAGTTAATTAATTTATGGAATTCCAGGTCGTACAGAATTGCCAGACAACCTAAAAGCGCTATTTCGACCTATTGCCATGATGGTACCGGACTATGCGCTGATAGCAGAAATCTCGTTGTTCTCCTTCGGGTTCGGTGAGGCCAAGATCCTGGCTGGCAAGATTACTACCACTTTCAGGCTTAGCTCTGAACAGCTATCTGCACAGGTGATATTTTGTTTTAATTTACATATCAGTGTATTTTTTTTGTGACTGCTGAGTTGCAGACGTTCATGGGCGGCGATAGTCACTTTCCATCGGGTGACCCGTCTGCTCGTCTGCCCCCTCTAATATAAAAAATAATAATTTAACTTTGATTTGATTAAAAGCGTATATAACAATATATACCAATACAAAAACACAAAACAAACAATAAGCAAATTAAAAGAGAGAGGAGTAGATAGGTAATCTGCTTTAGACTTTTTTAACTGCGGTCTAGATCTTATCGAAAAATGTACTTAAAAAAAAGAAAAAATGTAAAATTATAAATGACATTAACACATTTCACGCATTAACGATTCAGTAGATTATTGTAATGTACATATGTATGTTGTCAGGAGTACACGAACGACGTAGAATACCTTTCATTTAAGAGAACACTTCCTAAGAGACTCGAGAATTGTTTGACAAAATCTACATTTACGGGAGTGAAGACTTTACGTGTACCTGTAAAATAAGTCTGAACCTAATATCTTAACTTTAACTTTAACTTTGAAAGCAGTTCAGATATGTTAAACTATGTTCACACTTAGGACCACTATGACTTCGGGATGCGTGCCGTTAAGACTGTCATCACGGTGGCCGGGAACCTCATCCGTCAGATGCCCGACGGAGACGAGAGGCAGATCGTACTCAGGGCTTTAAGAGACGTCAACGTTCCCAAGTTCTTAGCTGACGACTTATTGTTATTTAATGGTGAGTTTGTTAATTAAATATATAAAATTCTTGAACTCCTCCGAAACGGCTCGACCGATTTTCGTGAAATTTTGTGTGCATATCGGGTAGGTCTGAGAATCGGCCAACATATATTTTTCATACACCAATTATTATTTTTTTCAATTCTTTTTGAAATAATGTATATGGCAAAACAACGTTTGCCGGGTTAGCTAGTAATAATAATAGAAATTGCCGGGTGGTCAATGTCTGACCCTAAATCATAACTTTTTCTTTGTAGGAATCATATCGGACTTATTCCCACGCGTGGAAATCCCCGTAGTGGACTACGGTATTATGGAGCAATCAATCAGAAATACGCTCGTCAAAAGAGGCTACGATGACCTCTATAGTAAGTATCGGTCACCACCTTGCACTAAGAATCCTAATTGATTGGTCTATTCTGTTGTATTATTAAAGTAAAGAAAAAAAGCATTATTGTATAACCAGTAACTGCTTATAGTGTTTTTGTATTTTTGTTGTAATGTAATGTATTTTCAGTACTTTCAACTCTTTTTATTGTTTACGGCGTATACAACAACGGAAAGTTATCAAAAAATATGTTTAATTTTATTTTTACGTTAAATCAATCTGATTGTAGTTATAACAGACAGGAACACATTGGAATATACATGGTTTTGGTTTTACATGGTAACTAAAGTGTGTATAAACAGAGTGGTTCAAAATAGAAGTAATTCCACTATTTTCTAGCATTCATATTCAAAGTAATACAACTATACGAGACGACGGTGGTGCGACACGGACTCATGTTGGTGGGACCTGCGGGCGCTGGTAAAACTAAGGTAAGCTTTGATATCTTTGAAAAATATTATGTTTCTTAGAAGATCCTTGAAGATAATTGGGTTCTTAGAAGATCCATAAAAGAGGACGTAACTATTTCATGAACTGTAAGTTCTAAACGGGCTGATAAAAAGCGGAGGAATGCTGATAGCACAAACCCTGTTGTTCTCTAAGCTAGAAGAATTGTAAAAAAACTAAAATAGTAAAGTAGTATGGTCCACCCATCAAAGCATCAAAACTCCGACTAGACCATACTGATCAATAAGCAATTTTGCAAGTAACCTTTATCTAACCGTAAAAACTGTCGGGCAGTTTAAATTAACTAGAACATGTTACTGCTTGACTTTTTATTTCACAAAAGTAGTTCTCTATTCATACTTGTAATTTTTGTTTGCGATTTTTAAGTGTTACGAAGTACTCCGTGATGCGCTTACGGCCATCAAAGGTAAATTGGCTCCGGATGGGTTCCCCTTCACGCCGGTACATACGTTCGTTGTCAATCCAAAATCCATCACCATGGGACAACTGTATGGAGAGTTTGACCTGCAAACGCACGAGTGGTAAGTGATACTATGTATAAGAATTATAGCAGCCAGCAACCGAAACAAATGTATGAAAATAAAAATAGTCTGTAGAAAAAAGGATAATAGAGTCAAAGTTCGATGTATTTTACGTTTAGACAGTATGATCATAGGTCAGAGTAACCAATATTGAACCGGCGTTTAAATTGAACCACTTTCGTATTTCTACCACAATGGCACATTTTTTTTATAATAGCAACACAAAAAAGAGCGCACGCACCCACAAATACTCCACCATTTTGTAGCGCTCCTTTTTGTGCCAATATACTATACCAAATAGTGCCCCCTACTTACTCTCCCCTACCTTATACTGCCAAAGCACCTCTGAGATATTTTAAAGTTTGGTAAAGTTTAATGGCATTTTGTCAGTAAGTCGCGTCAGTGTTAGTTGTTGATCGATTACATCTTTCCTGTATTCTTGACTTTATACGCGGATAAAACTGTTGAGAACGTTACGAGTACATTAGGCATTTACTGAAAATGCTCCTTTATGAAAGTAAGGATTTCAAGTTCTCAATATGGTTGATTTTTTTATGTTAGTCACCTCAGAACTAAGTTATTTCAACCGATTTGATAATAATATACTTCATTTTTGATCCCATTTACATTTGATGAAAAAAATAAAACCTCTATGGATGTAATATTAGGGATTGAAAAAAACATATTATTGCAGTTCATCATGATGCCATTGATGTCGGTGAAACTAATTTGAAAGTCAGTTATGCAAACATTAGTCACAGTAATTTCATCAACTACAAGCCTTCTACGACACATCTCTTTAAAAAATGTCTATTTCAGGACGGATGGAATTCTATCAAGCTTGGTCCGAGCTGGTATAGCAGTTGAAGACATGGACAAGCGCTGGTACGTCTTCGATGGACCCGTTGACGCCGTGTGGATTGAAAACATGAATACTGTATGTTAGACATACATATTTATTTTTTTCAATTGTAAAATGTAACTGGGGGCGCTACATTTTCTTTAAGTAAGATTCCACTTTGCATCTCAGGATCATTTCAGCAATTCATACATATATTTATCATCTATAAATGGTAAATATTGAAACATCGAAATTATTTTGTAGGTATAATGAGCTTAAAATGATAGCTTATGAAAGGAAAGAATAAATATAGCACAATAGCATAATTAAAAATATAATTCTAAGACTTAGGCGAGCCAGTGTATGTCGGCAAACGCTCCACGATCAAAGTGTTCGTGTGGATATACCTAAGGCGTGTGCCGCGAACATCGCACAACGCATGCCTCGGCCGAGAAAATGAAGCTATTCGAGTCATTCGATGCAGGCTAGGATCGATCCAGCCTACATACTACAATCATAATGGCACCACCGTATTGCGTACACGTAGTCGATGTTGTTTTTATAATGATTCATTCAATTATTGAAACTAAAGAAAATTCCGTGCATCCGTCAGTCATCCTGAGCATGCGTTGTTTTTATTTTTACTCGAACCAAATTATAGCATGCGTTGCGAGTCATGTGCGGCGCATGCCTTGCCATGTATGTATATCAGCCTTTAACTAGTAAAGGGGTGAACAAGTATATAGCTATCATAGTGTAAGCGGATACCAGTCCCTAGAAATATAACTTTAGTAGAAACATAAATATTAAGTGATGTTTAACTACATACAATATTCTGTAGAACCCTATTCCGTTTCAGTGACAATTTCAATTTAGCAACTCTCTGTGCTGAGATTCTCGCACGTATATAGCTTCTATTCTATTCCATTTCTAGGTATTAGACGACAACAAGAAATTATGCTTATCTAGCGGTGAGATTATGAAGTTAACTGAGCGACAACGCATGATCTTCGAGGTGGCGGACCTGGCCGTGGCCTCCCCCGCCACTGTGTCGCGCTGCGGTATGGTCTACTTGGACACACAAGTCGTGGGCCTACGACCCTTAGTCAACGCATGGCTCAGGAGCAACCTGCCCTCTGTTAGTACATTTAGAGATAGACAGACAGTAAACTAGGAAAAGTATTTGTCGAACAAAAGAAAACTAAATATTTTGCTTCGAAATCTATTTTTTCGGGCTAATTTTAATGACATTTTTGTGATCGTACATATTTCCTAAAATAATGCAAACACTAGAATTTAGTAATACAAGCATACTATTTATCATTCCTACAGTTAGCAGATAACATACGAAAGCCTCTACCTGGTCTGATAAATACGTATTTATATCCTGCCTTGGAGTTGTTACGCGAACGTCTCACTGAGATCGTGGTATCCATCGACTCTTCCTTGGTGCTGAAGTTTCTCGAGCTGCTGGACTTCAGGCTGAGGCCGCTAACGGGGAAAGATGACAGACCACTTCCAGGACCACAATTCCTCGCTCTTATGCGTAAGTGCAAAAAAAATCCCTATCTGTAAACTAAATCCTGAAGAGATTTCATCTTTGTAACTGACATTGACACGGAACAGTCACAGCCATAGACAAAAAAATCTTGTAAAGGGATTCCTGACGGGCCCAAATCTTGTATAATTAAATGTACGTCTGCATAGAACCATTTATCTTTAATGACTACTTTAGTTATAGTACATTTAAAGTAATTTAAAAGTACCCAATAATTACAAGCACTGTTTGGTTGCTCTAGCTCGCCTTGTTCCCCTATGGGTGGTGTGGTCAGTGATTTGGTCGGTAGGCGCAACATGCGACCACAACGGCCGCGCAATATTCTCCGACTTTATACGTCAGAAAACCACAGAGGCTGGCCTGAAACCTCCTTTCCCCGCGAAGGGCAGGGTCTACGATTATACGTTAGTAGTCATTTATTTTATTAGAACATTGCTTACTCGCTGACCCGGCAAACGTTGTTTTGCCATATACATTATTTCAAAAAAAATTGTCAAAAATAATAATTAGGTGTATGATAAATAGATGTTGGCCGATTCTCAGACCTACCCGATATGCACACAAAATTTCACGAAAATCGGTCGTGCCGTTTCGTAGGAGTTCAACCACGCACACCTTGACACGAGAATTTTATATATTAAATGTACAAAGCTGTTAGATTTGAAAATTGGATAGGCATTTGGTATTATTGTTAGGAATACGAGTAGTGGGTTTCTCCTTTCCTCGTGCACACTACTGTGGATAGAATAGAAATGAATATGCTTTATTGTACACCAATTACATTATGTTAGTTAAATATTACAGAAGGATATGTAAAATATGCGGCCTTTTTGCTAATAGCAATCTCTTACAGGCAATCTTTGGATGGACAAATCGCAGCTAAGAAACAATTGGTAGTCTAGGTGTATTGAAGCTGCAGTAGTGTAAAAATAAATATATAAACTATATATTGTCGTACATACACAAACATACATATACATATGTTAAGGCGTTTAAAAAAAAAATCTTTTAGTCTCGGAACCACGCTCAAAAGATTCCTTTGGATGCCAAAATATGCTTCTGAAAATACGAGCTATTTAAATTTCTGAGTACATTACATCCTACACCAAGAGTGCAACATGGAAATCGAGCGATGCGAGTAGTCTTACCTTTGTTTGCCAAATTACAACACCTCTTTGTATTTGCTCTGTGGCTACAATACTACCCTCAAAAAGAATTACTGGCTTCTTGTAATGCGTTATATAATATATTTGACATATAGTCTCCATGATGGTGGCTTCACCGACCTGACAGACGATGGCGAGCCGGCTACTCCCTACTGGTACAACTGGATGGCCAATATGGAGGATTACGTGGTGGACCCAGAATGGCAATATGCGGGTATGAGTGCTTTGGTCCGATAATGTTACTCCTATTACGTTTCTGAAAAATAACCTCCAGACTGCCTTCCTAAGACAAAGGGTCCCTAAAAGTTTGATAAAAACAACAAACAAACAAACAAGAGTTTACTTGATCATCGAATCAGTTTCTAAAATAATATAAAATAAAAATAAATAATAAATAATATTTTACTCCAATTTTTTTTTTAATTTCATTTATTCATTACTGTAGACTAGACACATATTTTTTTTTCTTGGATCCGGCCCCCGTCAATCGGCCAAACGCCTATTTTGAGCCTGATCGTGTCTTGATGTAATCAGGCCGCCGCGCCGCCCTATTTTTGTAAATCAACTTAAATTGATTTACAAACGTGTATGTGTCACGCGACAGAAATAAAAATATAAAAAGGTTTTTAGAAATAAAACTAACAATTTGATATTCTTTCCCTAGATATTGAAGTTCCAACTTTGGACAACGTTCGCAGTGCTGCAATCCTGGGTTTTAAAATACAAAACTGGAACCATGTCATATGTGTGGGACCCACCGGCACGGGCAAGACTGTCACCATTCATTCCAAACTAGCACACGGATTACATAAGAAGTTCATATGCGAGTTCCTGGTGTTTTCAGCGAGGACCTCTGCAAATCAGACGCAGGTTATTTAGGAGGATAAATATCATATTTTACTAATATTATGCCATTATCTTGTTTTAATCTAAGCTTCTACGCGATAAAAGGACTAGTGTCATTGAGTCCCTTAATGAAGGTTTTTTTAAAGAAGTTATTTAATTACCTTTAAAAAAAGAGACCCTAAAGCATTCGCTCGTCATGAGAGTGAAACAGACTGAACTGTGCTCGACTTTAGTTGCCAAAGTGCTGACCACTGTTCCTTTAATTTTATTTGGCTTTATATTCAGTCAGCGTATAATGAGTACAGCTGAGGGCTAAGAGTAAGCTCTGGCAATTTGATCGTTTCATTGGGAAAATAAGAAATATCACTTCGGACCGCACTTCAATGTTACCGCTTTTGTGTCCTAATTTATTTCCGAACTTAATATGCATACTCGTACAAACAGGAGAAATTGAAATATAGTATTCAATTCGGTTTTCCAAAGTACTTTCTGTTTATATTGAAAAAACTAGTTAAATAGAACTACTGATAGAACTAATGGAACGAATTTTTTTTAATAAGGCGTTGTCCACATACCACAATAACTAGTTTCAAGAACATCTGGCGATGACCAAAATGTCCATCTTTAACAGACTACTGATCCTATGTATCGCAATCACTTTTCACCAGAGAATTGCATGCAATTAGTTTTATTGAGTGGAAACTGACTGAGCCATAAAGATTAGTTTCAATCCTGCCGAGGTCATAGCTGTGAAAGAACGGCAACAAAAACTAAGGGAGGAACCTCAGACCAGGCTTTGTGATAATGTCCAGCTGACATCTGCAGCTACCCAACTCTCTAGAACTGTCGCTATGATACAGCTATGATACAGGATCAGTAACGACTTAATAGTTCGAGGTCTTCGGTGAATACGATACAATACAATATACGAGTATATTTATATGCAAAATACGAGAATGTTATTTTAATTAGGATTAATACTTAACTAAATCAATTGTTTAATAGTTATATTGGTGTGTTGGTATTAACTTCAAAATACCCTATTTAGGCTAATAGTGAACTGAAGTTTCCTGTACAGGACGTAATAGACAGCAAGCTGGAACGTCGCCGGCGAGGAGTGTTCGGTCCTCCTCCCACTAAACGACAAGTTTTCTTTATCGACGACCTCAACATGCCCGCACTAGAGGTACGTACATCGACTAATTTATAGATGGAAAAGTTGAAATTTAACGCCCTAATTACTGAATCGAGTAATAAAAATCGATATATATTCGATATATAATATAATCGATATATAATATGAAGACATGCCACATGTTGGCAATTGACTATCGCCGCTCACCGACACATGCAACTCCCCAGCGCGGGATGGATACTCAGCTAGCTCATTTAGCAAAAGTGTTTTCAAAATGGTTGTAGTGTAAGACATGCTTGCCGAAAAAAATCATTTTGTTTTCAGGTTTATGGTGCGCAGCCGCCTATCGAATTGCTCAGACAATTTATGGACTTCTCCGGTACGTTTAACTTTTAAATTTGTTGTAGAGACGGAGTACGATTTCAAATTGAATAAACATTTCATATAATTTATGTTAAATTAAAAAAAAAAGCTTCTAAAATATCTGAAAGATTTTTGGTTTGATAATAGGCTGGTACGACAGACAAAATATCGGTGAGTTCAGAACGCTGGTGGACGTAGGCATCGTGGCGGCGATGGGCCCCCCGGGTGGGGGCCGCAACCCTGTCACCATGAGGCTCATGAGGCACTTTCATTACATCTCCTTCACTGAAATGGAATATTCTAGCAAGGTACGAAAATCTTCATAATGCCTTCTTCCCAGACTATTAGAGGGTTAACTGCATACAAAATCGTTTGTTAGTAAACCGTTCCTGAAGACACCTTGTACGACAAAATATGTGTTATTCTGTCATCAAAAGGATTCCTTTCTATGCTTTTATCACTTAGCTTAAACACGTAAGTGCCAGTGCTTTATTTTCTTTGCTTTTCATTAATTATTGGGGGTCCAACCCCTTCCCCTATGCCTTAAAAAAGTTTAAATTGCACAATATAAAGTTATTTGGTATACAGTCCTTCTCCAAGGTCTCAAATAGGTAAATTCTCTCTTTCCAAAATTCCTCAAGATTTGTTTAGTGGTATAGATGTGAATACGTAATGTATATTGTTACTTTCGAATCAATAACATTAGACGAGCCAAATATTAAATATTTTTATTATAAACTTCTAGTACGCCATCTTCAGCGTGATCCTCAAGTCTTGGATACGCAATATCAACCCTAAAGTGATAGTACGTGAAGCTCCGTTTCTGACGGCTTCCCTCGACATATTCACGCAGCTGGTGGAGGAGCTGCTGCCTACGCCTGTCAAGTCGCACTATACCTTTAACCTGAGAGACCTCAGCAAGGTGTTTCAGGGAATTCTGATGGTAGACCCGCAACTAATATTGGTAATATTTAGTTCGTAATACATCGGCAATTTTTTATAATTACCACAGAGTTAAAAGACACAAATAATAATGTCTCACACATCTCACACACGGCCGTCTGATCTCAAACTAGGCAGAACCTGTACTATGGTAGCCAGACTGCTGATAAACATACTTATATTTTTAAATACATACATATTATGTATAAATGACAACCAACCTTAATTAAAAGCGCTATATACTCACTACAAATATTGGAAGCAACTTGAAAAACACATACATTTCGAAACGCACTTGACGCTTTCCTAAGTTCTCTGTAACGCTTTCCTCCGATAACGGCAGGAGCGACTGTGTACGAAAATTTCCACATGATACACCTCTATGTGCAGAATGTTCAAATAATTAAGATTGAATTAATAATTTCTTTGAAAAAAAATTTGCACGTCGTGACTATTATTAGAAAATTTGATAAATAATGGCTTTCATTTTGCCGACTTAATGGTAGGTGGTAAAAGATTCCTAATCCGACTTACGTAACGTACGTAATACCTACCCTACCTAATACAATTGCCGTCAACTATACGAGTAAAACAAGGGCACTCCAGGAATCTGGGATAATTAAGAATACTTCGAAAGAAAGGGTACGATTGGATACGAGAAGCCGAAAATCGATCAAAGAGGCGTGCAATGGGACAAGCCTATGTCCAGCAGTAGACTGCGATAGGCTGATGATGAAGGGTACATAGGAAGGAAAGTTATTACCTTTTGTCTAATTATACTTCAACAGGATGAGAACGACGTGATCCGTCTGTGGTACCACGAGCATCAACGTGTGTACCAAGACCGGCTCGTTAACGATGAAGACCGGCAGTGGTTTAAAAGGTAAAACATTAATATGTTACATTTATTATTAACGATTAAAAATATTAATATAATCGATAAAGATACATGCGTCACGAGAGTTCATAATAAGTATTTATAATTTATGTCCGTGTGGTGACGGATTAAGAATACAGAGTGTCACCACCCCTATTCATCCCGTGGGTGTCGTAAGAGCTGACTAAGGGAGAAAACTACGCAGGACAACAACACTGCAGAGAGAAGGAAAACTTGAAACAAACCCTATACCAACCCATCTGGCCAGCGTGGTATAGTAGGCCAAAACCTTCTTTCTAAGGAGAGGCCTATGTCCAGCAGTGGACTATTAAAGGCTGTTGATGTGAAACGATAAAGATACATGCGTCACGAGAGTTCGTAGTAAGTATTATAACAAAAACCGTGTGCCCGTCGCACATGCTTTTTCGACAGTGAAATTTAAGTAGACCTATAAAAGAAGTGCAGAAAAGTTTTCTTTAAATGCATCACAAATTTAAAATCTTCGGATAAGTTATTTACTTTACGCCGAAGTTCAAATTTGCTTTGAGCCTAATGCCCTAATGTGCTACGTCCTCTCTAGTTTACTAGATAAGAAAATTCGTACGGATTTCGGCAAAAAGCCAGTCGATGTGACTGGAGGACGCCTGATGCTGTTCGGAGACTTCATGGACATTGGTGCTGAGGATAGAAAGTACATCGAAATCAATGACCGGGAGGAGGTAGGTTTCTACTCTCGTTCTTTTATTTAAATTTTAGTGTGAGAAAGCCATGCTTCGCCACATGGTGAGGATACCTTGTGCTACACACAGCCGGTATGGTAACCAGACTACTGATATACATACTTATATATTTATAAATACATACATATAGATAAATTACACATAGGTATTGAACGAATGATCGTGTTCATCAAACAATTATTTGTTCTGGGTGGAAATCGAACCTACGACCTTTGGGTTAGCAGGTCATTAACCACTAGGTCAGTACCATAAAATAATAATAACATCCTGATATCCTAACTAATGTTATAAAAGTATGTTTAAGTAATCATCTGATAAATCATTAAATTAACCATTTTATGATATCAAGGAGTGATTAGAAAAAGTAATTTAAGCATTTCACTTAAACAACAAACATGGCTTACTGGTTTTAAGAATAGTAATATTTTAAGATGAACTCTGATGATAAGTTTTGCTGAAGCCGATGTTTAAATTACGTAAGAAGCTCTTACAGAAGACTCTGTACTGGGTACAGGTTAATTTGACAGTCACACTATCAGGTTCTTTCTTTGGTCTTATGCGAAGGCGGCTATTGGGGTAATTTTGGCAGTGACATCCATGGTTTTAAAAGTTTACTTATCCTGAAGCCAGACGTTGATTCTGTAGTAGTGTAATCAAAACCACGCAATTTTTATAAGCGTTCTTAATTTCTTTTTTTCTTTTTTGTAGTCATTACACACTTTGAGGCTAAATTATTTTTAAGATGGTATATCAATAGTTTAGGCGGTACTTGTGATCTATCATTCGAAACTTTTAGTTGAAAATAGGAATTTATGAACAAGTGGTCTACTAAATACTATTTATTTTTGTCTCTAAACATAGGTAATTGTTGGGAATTAGCAACGAGAAACATTTACTGTTATTTACTACTGTGTACTACTTTAGTTACTGAGTATTCTTCAGAAATATGTTCTGAACTATTTGGGCTTGTGTCTCTACTATTGTTATTAATCTAAATAACAAGGGGTCACATGGCTACAATGCTTACATGGTTATTTATTTCACACGAATGCATCTTAAATAGTTTTATTCTGCTTTTTTATTCCCATAGCTACTTAAAATGTAACCTTAATTACTCTTAAAACACGGTTAAAGTTTTCTTACTACTACTATAAAACTGTTAATAAATTGTTCTGTTATTTTTAGCTGTACGAGATCCTAGGCCATTATAAAAACGACTACAACTTGTCAACAACGGTACCGTTAGACCTGGTATTGTTCGACGATGCCATAGCACATTTGTGTCGAATTGCGCGCATCATGCGACAACCCATGGCGAATGCACTGCTGCTGGGCATGGGCGGGTCTGGTACGTGCTTGGATAATTACTTTTTATCCTCTTTACGAAAATGAAAACCATTCAATTCGATTTAATTGAATTTAAACTGTGATTCTTAGTTTTTTTCAAATCTAAATATTTCATAATTGTTTTCAATCTTAATGTCCGTAGGTCGACAGTCGCTATCTCGCCTGGCTGCCAGCATGGCAGAACTGACATGTATTCAGATTGAAATCACAAAGGTGTACGGTCAGCAAGAATGGCGCGATGATCTTAAGCAAACAATGTTAAAGGCAGGAGCTGATAATAGAGGCATCGTTTTCCTATTCTCTGATGCACAGGTATAACTGAGCAAAAAATTTGGCCGCGAATTTAACATATTTTGTACTAACATATTGTATTGTGCGGTTCTACTTACAAAAATAACTTTATTGAGCTATTAAACAAGAAGTAACATATATTTATGTATACAAACCAGTCTCAAATAATTTACATTATTATTCTATTAGAACTTAATGGTATCTTAGTACGCATGCATTTTCTATGGTAATTTTATTATCTTTACTTATTGTTACTTCTAGTTATTTTATTGTTAAAATCATGTATTCCGATATATTTATATATATATATATATGATGGGAAAATGATTTACTAATGGTGACTCTTCCGACATCACAAATTTTTACTATGTAGTATGGATTTATAATCTGAAAATAAACGATATTAAAATTATTATAGTATAGAATTATTGACATCTTATAATTACGTGACATTGACTTCACAACGGTTACTCTGCAGATTAAAATGGAATCCTTCCTCGAAGATCTGAACAACATCTTAAGTTCTGGGGATGTTCCTAACATATACGAAGCTGAAGACTTCGACAAAATCTATCAATCTGTCCGGCACGTTGTAATGGAGTTGAACATGGTCGCTACCAAGACGAACTTATTCTCGTGTTACCAACGCAGAGTACGCAGTAATCTACACATTGTTATTGTTATGAGTCCTATTGGTGAGGTAAGTTTTACTCCAATATATGTTTCAGAACAGCCCAAGTAGTTTCAGATGGTCTCTGTAGCATGGAGGCCAGGTGCTGGCAGCGTAACCATATCTAAGTCGAAAAAATTGAACTTATTTAACGATGATATTCATATTATCTATGTAACCCAGAATTCAAAAACTTGCTCTAATGAGAAACAAGCTACGCCGCTTACTTTATAAATTCTTGTGTAATCTTATTTTTTCGATCTAATAAGTTATGGTTGTTGTAATCAATCGATCATTCAATCAATAAGGACCACCACGCACATCACATATTGTTATTATGCTATAATTATATAGGTACATTTTTTTATGTAAGAGGGGACAGACGAGCAGACGGGTCACCTGAAGGAAAGTGACTGCCGCCGCCCATGAACGCCTGCAACAATACAATTATGTAAAAGTGATAATTGAAAACGCAATAATGTATGTATGTTATTTTAGATATTCCGCGCCCGCCTGCGCCAGTTCCCATCGCTAGTGAACTGCTGCACAATAGATTGGTTCAGCGAGTGGCCCAAGACAGCCCTGGAGTCAGTCGCGAAACATTTCTTCACTGGCATGGGAGAGCTTCAGTCAGCGTCAAATGAAGTTATAGACGCTATGGTGGTAAGAAAAGCCACTATATTTTTAGATGACTTATTTATTTATCGCACAATGAAAGAGTTGCATTTAACAGCAACGTCAAGGTTCGTGCTTTGTGAAATAATTTGTGTGCATAGATATGTCTTCTGCTCATGGCATTGGTTGTGTGTTTGTATCTATACAATATATCTATTAAATATGAATATCCGTGTGGCAGGCTGTGCTGTAAGGGTCTAGTAAGCGCTGTAAAGTATGTCCGAGAACATGATTAAGTTTGGGGTACATTTCCTGATTCATTCACCGTTTGTGTTGTTCAGTCGGTATGTTGCTTCGTACACCAATCAGTTGTGGATGCGAGCCAGAAGTTCGAGCATCAACTTAACAGAATCAACTACGTCACGCCCATGTCCTACATGTCGATGCTAAATGCGTATTCTGAAATGTTCACAAAGAAACAGAAGTCTATACTCAACGAGTCCACTGCTCTTAAAACTGGTAATAACATGATACTTATCTAAACAGCTACTTTATTGATAGCAAGTTAAATAGTGATTTTTTTGGTAACTCGAAACCTAACAGACACGAAAAGCTTAGTAAAATTCTCAAGGTAGATTTTTTGCAGCTAAAGTTTAAGAAATCAACCTCGGGCTACTATTGACGTAAAACTGAAATAAATATTTATCTAACACGTAAAACACTAAGAAAGTATAGATAGTTCAACTCGCGCGGCCCTATGTGTGTGTGGGCTTGTAAATATACAACTTTCATTCGTGTGGCAGTCGTCGTCTATCTATAGCAATGTTTTGTAGCTGGTTAGTGAGTGGCTAATTAAAGTTTAGTTAAAGTTCTAATGTCATTTATTGTGAGTTCTAGTTACTTGAATAAATAAATATTTAATGATAATATTATTATATATATTGTATACCCAGGTCTACACAAGTTAAATCAAACAGAAATAGAGGTGAAAGAACTGCAAATAGAATTAGCTGAATTAAAACCCCTGATGGAGCAAGCTGCAGAGGAAACAAGGAAAGTTATCGAACAGATAGCTATTGACACTGTGAGTACAATACACCATGTTCACGTCATTCATCCATTCATCTATATTTTGGTAACCATAGTACAGGCTTTATCTTGTTATGGATTAGACGACCGTTTGTGAGGTGTTTGAATTTATAAAGAAAAATAAATCTAAGGAAACTTCATTCATATTTTTATTAATAGGCAATCGCAGAACAAGCTCGAGCTAAAGTGGAAGAAGAACAACAGATTGCTGAACAAATGGCCACTTTAACCACCGCGATGGCTGAAGACGCCATGAGAGATTTAGGCAAGAGATGTTACTTTTTACTGTTCTGGTTAAACTGCTTAATTCTAATATTTAACTTCTAACTTTATATAAATTTCTCAGAGGAGGCGATGCCAGCCCTAAGAGCAGCCGAGAAAGCTTTGAAAGAGTTGAACCGTAATGACATAGTGGAAGTGAAAGCGATGAAGAAACCCCCTCAGGGAGTCGTGCTTGTCATAGAATCGCTATGTGTCGTGTTCGATATCAAACCCGTTAAGGTAATATTACACTTAAGACAGTTACAGAAATCAAAATAACTTTCAATGACTTTTGATCTGATAATAATTGCAGTGCAAAAATATTATATGTTTCACTATTACATATGATAGGGTGCATATAGAGGGTGCGGTGGGGAAGTTCCTTGTATAATAAATAGACGACACTTAAGTAATAATATAATAATAATAATATTTTTATTTCAGACATATACAGTCCATAGGTCGTTTAGTAATGGGTTAGAAACAGAAAGTACTTAAGGTCTATATTAGTATTGTGAGTAACGACACTTAATAGTAGAAAGGCATTCAACTATGCTTTCCTATTGCTATAGCCACCCAGTGCCTTTGTATAGGACAGTCTGGCCTACTAGCAATCATCTGCAGGACGCTGTTCCGGGTATTACCCAAGCGCTGTAGCATGGAAGCCGATTTTTTACGCGATATAATATAGATAAAATAAATATATAGAGCGATAAAATAATAGAGATATCAATTTCATTAGTTTTTTCTTATAGTGGTACATTCTAAGTGCGGCTTTATCAATGAAATAGCTAGTTAAACTTATCGAATATCACTTTTTGTCATGTTGATTTACATTAGTTACTTTTTTTTTTGTTTTTTATAATTTACTAGCTGAGACCCGCGGCGTTACTCGCGTTTGTTGTTATAACCGCGTACGTACGTTACTCCTTATGGCATCAGCTATCTGCCCGTGAAAGTCCCGTCGAAATCGGTCCAGCTGTTCCAGAGATTACCCGGAACAAACAGACAGACAGACAGACAGACAGACAAAATTTAAAAAAAATGTTATTTTGGCATATGTACCGTGTAAACATACATATGCATTTAGTAAAAAGCGGTTATTTTAATATTACAAACAGACCCTCCAATTTTATTTATTTGTATAATTAGAAGATGACGTCATGCATGAAATTATAAAGGCAGGTAATTTAAGAAAGGAAAATAGTAGATGTCTTTCTTGGTGGTCCGTGTGGTGACGGATTAAGAATACAGAGAGTCACCACCCCTATTCATCCCGTGGGTGTCGTAAGAGGCGACTAAGGGAGAAAACTACGCAGGACAACAACACTGCAGAGAGAAGGAAAACTTGAAACAAACCCTATACCAACCCGTCTGGCCAGCGTGGTATAGTAGGCCAAAACCTCCTTTCTAAGGGGAGGCCTATGTCCAGCAGTGGACTATTAAAGGCTGTTGATGATGATGATTTCTTGGCTTTACTCTTCAATAGGTGTGAACATAATTACAATGATTAACCTTCAACTGATTAGCTTCTATTATGAATTAATTGATTGGATGGCTTTGGCAACTCCGTTCGACCAGGCCCATTTCTGCTCTTCCACGTTGTAAATAAATACCCCACAAATAAACACTGTATGGTACAGGAAGCTGGTGCAAATTATGGCGAGAAAGTATTAAACTATTGGAAGCCGGGATCATTGATGCTATCAGACCCCGGCGCGTTCCTTGATTCTCTAATGAACTTCGACAAAGAATCTATCACAGAAGATATGATCAAGAAACTCAAGAGGTTCATCATCAACCCTGACTATGATCCCGCAAAGATTATCAAGGTATTTAAAAAACCTTTGGATTGTTTAGTGTTAAAGACATGTCACCTGATGGTAAGTGACTATCGCCGCCCATGGACACCCACAACTAATATTCACTAGTTGCCGCTCTTACACAACCCTCTCCCCCCTCCCCAGCCCCAGATCTACGATTTTTTCGAACCGTGGCAGAAACTTGATAGTGGCGACCCTCTCTCCAGCGTTTGAGATAAATTACTTAAATAAAGCTGTGGCGCCTTTTTCTTACAAGTCGACGGTGAGCCGGTTTGTCCCCCCTCCCCCGCTAGATCCGGGGCCACCCACCCACCTTAGGGGCCGCCGCCCCTAAGGGAGGTGGGTAGACCTTCGGTAACCTCACTCACTTGTGAAAAGCAACTCCGGTCGCCAACTAAAGCTTTCCAGTAAGCTGGTAATTGTGATTTCCTTAAAAGCATATTTATTCTAGTTACTTAAACCAGTTGCCTTGTCCCGCATCAAGAAGCATGTATTGTGGTAAAAAAAAGTTGTATTTATTTCTATATTCTCTCTTTTATTTTTTAATAGTCGACTTATCCTGCCGTTATTCGACAGGTGTCAAAAGCGTGTCAGTCGCTGTGTATGTGGGTTCACGCCATGTACAAGTTCTACCACGTGAACAAGGCTGTTAAGCCCAAGAAGGAAGCACTGGAAAAGGCTCAACAAGGTCTTGCTGCTGTTGAAGGTGATTGACGCTATTGCTTGAATTCAGTGGTGTAGAGTTTTATAAAACACTCCAATTTTTTGAAAAATATGTTCTTGTATTATCTATTAAAATGTAATTTGACGGGCCTGTCAGTCTAGTGGTTAGAGACCCTGACTGCTAAACCGGAGGTCGTGGGTTCGACTCCCACCCAGGACAAATATTGTGTGATGAGCACGGTCATTTGTATGTGTGTGTGTGTGTGTGTGTGTGTGTGTGTGTGTGTGTGTGTGTGTGTGTGTGTGTGTGTGTGTTTGTGTCGTATAAATAACTATGATTTTTTTAGCATCCATTCTTAAATTTGCATGGGTGATTACTTCGAATAACAGAAATAAAAAAAGTTTGAAAAAATAAGTACTTTCACTTATTGCATACAAAACGGCAATTTCATAGGTAAAGACCTAATATATATCTATCACACATCTCACACACGGCTGATCTGATCCCAAACTAGACAGAACCTGTACTATGGTAACCAGACTGCTAATAAACATACTTATATATTTCTAAATACTTACATATTTTAGATAAATCACACACACACACATACACACACACATACACTGACTCACATACATACACAGACTTAGACAGTCACTAGCACTTGTACGCATGCTAACATAATAGAAACCAACATAAAGCTAACATACGAGTAATAGATAGTCCATCTAATCTAAGAGGTACCGTTTTACAGTTGTGACAGATTGAAGTATATCCGATTCTTAAGAGATATCGATGTAATTTCTTAGTGTGCACTAATCGATTACAGTTTTACTGATTTATGTATGATACTAAAAAAGTTCGTGTAATAGCATACCATAGGTTTTACTAGTAGTAACTAGTAGTTTTACTACTATACACTAGGACACGAGCCATTTTGCCTACAAAGATTTTTTTTAATTACATGAAATTACATACTTTTATTCTAATTATGCGTTTTCATTAACAGTTGGATGTCAGATGAATTTTAAATATTATTAAACACTTATGACGCCTGTATTGAAAATTACTCGTTATTAAAAAAAAGTTTTTTCGTACATTATAACACTAAGGTATATGAAGTTGAAAAAAAAACATCTATTGTGTACAAATTGGTTATTTTGCTTTGTTTCAAAAATTTAAATTTAGCCATCAAGAACTGTACATCTTGCAGTAAAATAAAAATTGCTTCATAATTTCATGGTTTTACAGAAAAGGTTATTGAAATTGTGTGAGTTACGCCTTTACAAAGTTATATCGTCTTAAAAAGTATGAAACGTCAAACGGTACCTCTTAGATTAGATGGACTATAATAGCTAATAGATACATATAGGCTTACTCAAACGGTTCATATGAACTTGTGACGTGAAATGAGTTGTTTATTATTATTATATATTATTGTTTAATCTACTACAACAGGGCATTTAATGCATGTGCATTGTTGCCACATTAAATAAATTTAAATTTAGAAAAGTAATATATCGGATTATATGTTAATTCATAAAACGTTTCACAAAACAGCAATGCTAGCTAACGCAAAGGCCAAGATGCAAGAATTGCTGGAGGGCATCGCCAAGCTAAATGAGTATTTGGCGGAGAAGGAGGAAGAGAAACGCAAGATGGAGGAAGATATAAATCTATGCTTAGCGAGGATGGATCGTGCCAATCGGTAAAGTTACTTTGCTCGTAGCAGTAGTGTGGGCTTACTTGTCAAGATTTACCCATGGAATATATGTCATGAATTCGTCTTTATTTTAATCATAATAACCTGGGTTCGGCGCGTTGTTTCATAACTTACGTTTTGCTAACGTATTAATTACACCTTTCACCAATCCATGCACACTATAGTTCAACCGCCGTAAGCTTGGCCCTCCTGATGGTTTGCGGGTAAATGCCCCCTTCCTCCTTCCAGTAACCTTATTCATTCGATAAAAATCAACCAAATAGTCACTTACACTGATTTTCAGTGATGCCGTGGTATCACGTTGGACGAGCCGGCCCGGTAGGCACTAACTATAATAATTACCTATACCTACCATTAAGTACGTACCATGTTTAAAGCTGGTAATCATTAAATTAATTATATTAACTGTTCCTATTAAGACTTCATACTTTAAGTGTATCGTTCTAGGTTATTAAACGGCCTGTCAAGTGAGCGTGTGAGATGGATAAAAACCATCAAGGAGTTAGACATAGCTATCGTCAACCTCATTGGAGACATACAGCTCAGTGCATGTAAGTGTTACAAGTATTATAAACTAATTTGATTTTTTTTTCTTCTTTCTTTTCGGTCATCTTTCTTCCTGAAATTTGTGAGAGTAATTTCATTAAAAGGGACGGAACTGTGTAACAGAAAGCTGGAGACGCTCGTGCTATTTCATTTGCGAAATGAAATTGTCACCGTGACATGAGTTGGAGCGTCTGACGGTAGATGATATGTCAGATGACGTCAGTGTGGGTCGCTCGTTTATTTTAGCAATTCACCAGAGTTTTGTAAACCCAATGAGACCTAATTAAACCTCATGAGACTACTATTGATGGTCTTACAATAATTGAGTAATACATACATAACATATTTTTTTTTTAATAAAGATTTAGGTAGTGGTACTCATATTTGATAAAGATACCGCATCTCCACTCAGATCATAACACAACTCAAAAATCTAAGTGTTTAAAGTTTATGTTATTTTTATGATTTTTAGCAAAATTTAAGCAGCAAACTTGCTTGAAGCCAGTTAAGTAAACTACTGACTTGTTCTTTTAACACTGAACGCCTTTTTCTCGATAACTTGATAATTGACACAAGGGTTTTACTCATGAGTTCTTGGCCTACTGGGACGCATTTCATCTTTCGTTTAAAGATTTAAATATTAATATTGTATGAGCGGTCTTAAGCATAGTTTTATTTCAAACGATAATGTTTAGGGTTCTTTTCTTCATACTAATATTTTAAAAGCAAAAGTTTGTGAGTGTGTGTGTTTATTTGTTTGTTATTTCTTCACGATTAAACAAATGGACCAAATTTTGATAAAATTTATTATGGATGTAGCTGACACCCTGGATTTATACACAGGCTACTTTTTATCCCGAAAAAAAATGTGTTCCCGTGGGATCATCTCACTAAATTTTTTCGGGCACGACTAGTTTAAAAATAACTTGGAAATATTAAAACGTAACGATTCATTATTTGTCAGGTGCTGTGGGGTATATAACACCGTTTACAGACGAGTTCAGAAGAGAACTACTCGCTGAATGGATGCAGCATATTGAGGTTTGGACAATTAGGATAAAATATAACTGATTAAAATTATATGACTAAATTGTTTAATGAAATTGTTTCCACCCCTAAGAGTAAATAATAAGTAATGTATAGTTTATTACAACTCATCGTGATGGAGGCATGTCATACCTTTTATAGGGCAGAAGTTATTGAATAACCTAGGATTAACTTAACCTTTAACCTATGTTGTATTTGTAATATTAATATAAAAGAGATAAATGCGTTGGCTGTCTGAATTTAAAACTGACATCAAAATTTAGTTTGAAGGTTACCAACGAAAATTGTTTTAAAACTAGTAAAGAATCTAACTCATCATTCATACATAATAGGTAGGTACTTACTTAATTTTTATTCGTTAGTCGGTCAATATTAAAGGATCCTAAAGTAAATTCCGTGAATTACTTCAAGTATCAACAATTTAGGTTTTTTATGCAGAAACTACAAAAAATACTTAAAAATAAACTGTTATTTTGTAATAAGCGAGCCCTTTCGGCTGACACGAAACAAATTGCAGTATAATATGGAACCTACGATGAATGATGATATCACTGATGAATGATGAAATATGAATCACGATACGCATATCCGAAATAAAGTGAAATAGACTGCACGGCCAAGTAGGCCAGAACCTCCTTTCTAAGGAGAGGCCTATGTCCAGCAGTGGACTATTATAGGCTGTTGATGTAATGTGAGACTGCACGGATGGCGTAGTGGTGTAAGCTGTCGCCACGCCGCTTGCTACTACGCTGAGTGTTGTGGGTCCGATCCCCACATGAGACGACACTTTGTGATCCACAAATTGTTGTTCTGAGTCTGGGTGTTCTTTGTGTCCGTTTCATGTATGTTTGTAAAGTAAATTATGCGCTAACCTTTCTACAACACTTATAATACACAATAACATGTAAAATCTTATTTTTAGGCAGTGAACGTGCCCCATACGCCTGGTGCTACTCCGCTGACTACGCTGGGGGACGCGGTCCAGATCAGGTCACATATTAAAACCACTTACTTTCTCATTAATGTCATTGATATTTAAATAACTAATAAAGACATTGCATTTATTGTAAGACAATTACACGCTTCTGGAGCCGTGTAATTTTTTTTCTTATGTTAGAGGTGGCAGACGAGCAGAGACAAATACTAATGTATAGAGAATTGAGAAGAAGAGTCGTGTAATTTCTCTATACATACTAATGTATAGAGAAATTTAAAAAGAGAGCAGCGTGTATCTCTCTTCTCCCTCCTGTAACGAAACGTGCCTTAAGTAAAAAAAATAATTATTCAATTATGAAATCGCCACCTAACACATTTCACTTCAAAAACATTGAATTTAATTAAATTAAAATATATTAAAACAATACCTTGTCGAATACCTTAAAGGGCGTCGCATATAAACTGTCATCCACTCAATTGAAGGAAAGTCACGGCAAATATACATCTATCGACTGATTTCATACCTTTTTAATTTGATTGGTAAGAGCCCTTCGACCAAGCTGGGTTAACATGCTTAGCAGGCAGTTGGTCTTGGCAGATTTCTATAATAAGTATACTAATTAGCATAAGAACTGTACATGCGGGTTTCTTACTTAATTATTTGGTTTATTTTTGATAGATGACTCTTAAGTAAGTTTTTGCTTTACTTCTTTAGTTTACACGGTTTTGTTGAGTACTTATGTGATAATGAATGTTTTGTTGTAGACAATGGCAAATGTACGGTCTCCCGCGGGACTTAATGTCTGTTGAGTCTGCCGTGCTCATGTTTAACTCGCGACGCTGGCCGCTAATCATCGACCCGCAGACGCAAGCGAACAAATGGATAAGGGCTATGGTAACGTCTCTTTCTTTCAATGTAAAAGTTATGAAAATTCACTCAAAGTCAAATGAATTATGTTCATTTATCATCATTAATATTAAGAATACTAAGCGTCACCACCCCTATTCATCACACGGGTGTAATATAAGCCGACTAAGGAAGCAAACTACGCAGGACAAAAGCAATGCAAAGAGAAGGATAACTTTATACAAATCCTTTTTTTTTTTTTTTTTTTTTTTTAACGTGTGGAAATCCCCTCGGACCGTCACCCCTCCGGGGTTTGCGGCGGGGTGGTGTGTCGGACTCGGACCGACTAAAACCACACGGTGTGCCACTCTGCGCCTGTAATAGGAGGGATCCGGGAACAGCTGTTGTTAAGACATCCGGACCCCTCCTAGCGCCAGCCCGCTCCTGGTGCGGGCTCCGTCTCAATATATTTTCCTCTCTTTAGGCGACGTCCGGCACACGCGAACGCCGCCCCCTCGCGGCTGGCCAAACTAATGCGGGTGGAGGGGAAACCCACCCCGTCCACCCGCGGCCACACTCAGGGCGGCATGAGGCTGTGATAGGCGGGCCTCCGCCGCCCGGTTCGCCGGCGGCGGATCGGGTCCGAGTGGAGGTCGTCCTCCCGGGCCCTCTCCGCCGCCTCCTTCCGCAAGATTACTACCTCGCAGAAGGTTGCGACCGCGGTAAAACAACTGTCGCTACCGGCCATGGAGCGTACTACGGCCGGTAGCGAGAGATCCACTCCGATGACTGCAGTGAGGGCCCGGCGCTGCGTCGCCCATGCGGGGCAGACCGCCAGCGTGTGCTGGGCCGAGTCCTCACTGCAGTCGAACTTTATACAAATCCTATACCAACCCAATACCTCCCTATCTAAGGAGAAGCCTATGCAGTGGACTGAGGCTGTTGTTGATTGATGATGATGATGAATTTCTTGGACGATGTATTGATTTTCATATTAAACTTTCTGACAATGTAGGCAAGATAAATAAATATGCACTTTTACGAACGTAAAAATTTACAGGGCAAACTGGATGGACTAATAGTATGTAAGCCGAATGACCGAGATTTGCTTCGTAGCTTTGAGTCAGCACTAAGGTTTGGAAAACCATTGCTGCTGGAGAATATCGGTCAAGAACTGGATCCTGCTTTAGATCCTGTGCTGAAGGTAGGTGGATTGTGTTTGAAGTGAGCAAAAAAAGGCGAGATTCTATGAAATCAAAAGGTAAAAGTCTACAACATTCAAGTCTTGTCGTGAACAGTTACATAAACTATAAAAATGCATTTATAAATATTGTCATACTTATCACTATGTTAGTAGGAAATATATTTAACGTGAACGTAAACCTATTCTAACACTAACAACCTAAAATTAAATTTTAATTTTGAATCTGCGGTAATTGAATGCTTGGTTCTTAGGCGTTGGACTTGCGATCAAATACTGTTAGTATAAGATCATATACAAGCGAGTGGTTATTAAGTTGAAAAGGTTTATAGGAATACAGTTAACATGCTAGTATTTCTGTTGGTAAAGTAGCGATCAGTGCAAAAGAAACTCATTCGATATAGTAAAACATTTCTTAGTCATCATTTGATATTTCCAGCGCCAATATTTCCGTCAAGCTGGACAGTTAGTGCTAAAATTTGGTGATTCCCTGATTCCGTTTGTTGCCGGCTTTCGTCTGTTCATGACGACTAAGCTGCCGAACCCTAAATACACCCCGGAGACCTCCGTGAAAGTGCAAATTGTTAACTTTGCTCTAGTGCCAAGGTAATTGAAATGTTTACTTACACGTTGATCGGCTTTTCAAACTTTCTGTCCAGAAAGAAAGAGAAAGAAAAGTTGGTTCCAGCAATTCTCAAGCAATGCAAACGCATCAATAGGCAACATATCGATTTTATTTCCAAAGACAATAAAACGTCACAGTTTCCTTAGTAATTTATACCACTACATTTGGTTCAACGTTCCCAACATATCACAGCGGTCTAACGGAGCAGCTGCTGTCGATAGTGGTTGCGCAGGAGCGGCCGGACCTGGAGGAGCTCCGCGGGCAGCTCATCGTGTCGCGCGCGCAGATGGCGGCGCAGCTGGCGGAGATGCAGGCCGACATCTTGTATGGCCTGTCCAACAGCCAGGGCTCGCCCGTCGACGACTTGCCGCTCATACTGACGCTGGAGGCCATCAAGATCAAGAGTGCTGAGATTTTGGTCAGTACATTAGAAAAATATTCGCCTATGTACAAATAAATTTATAGTCTATGCAAACACTAAGTAAAGGGCACTGGCCTGACGTGAAATCGACAGGACGATTAGGGTTCGAAGTTCGTTTTGTTCGTCTGTTCAAATTTGTTCAAAATTGTTAGTTTGTTCAAACAAAGAAGTGGCTCTCCAATTTTAATTCAATTTATTTATTTTATTAACATAGATTAATCGTATGATGGAATTTAGGCGTTAGTCACAAACGCGTTGCCGTGCCTTTTAGGAAGGAGTAGGCTCTTTTCTTGAAGGTCGTATCGTTCCGGAAATACCGCAGACGATAACCCGTTCCACAGATTGATTGTGCGAGGCAAGAAGTGTTTCGAAAAGCGCACAGTAGTGGAGCGCCAACTATCCGGGTGATAGGGATGAAAATGTTGCCCTGGGAACGATCGCGGAAAGTTGCGGCTGGTATTAGTCCGAACAATTCCTCGGAGCACGGTCCATGATATATGCGATAGAGAATGCAGAGTGAAGTCACATCTCTACGTAACGCCAAGGAATCAAGCCGATCCGAGATGTTTGGGCTATCGACGATTCAAATCGCTCTATAAATAATTTAGGAGCCATTGGCTACATTTCTATGGGCAAAAGGTAGTGTTTGTGAGCACTAGGTGCAGTTCATCTGAGCGACGTTGACTTGCTTCTTTTTTAAATAATAATAAAAGTACATATTTCTTACAAAGTTCACAACTTAATAGATACGAGTATAGAGTGATGGCAGTGACAAAAATTCCAAGTTCTGAAATAAGCTTTACGGGTGTCGGTTTGCTTCAGTTTGCAGATGGCATACCTATTCGCTATTCTACCCAATATATTTAAAGCGTACGAAAACTGGGCTAGTTTTGGTTACAATTACGATACTGTAGGATAAGTGTTGATTCCTAGGGATTAATAGCACGATGCCTTGGTGTTAGTATTGTGTATTGGGTGTGGGCTCCGGTTTCCGCATTTAAATCTGGTCTGTGCTTTCCTCGACGCATAAAGGACCAATTCTGAGTTTAGACTCAGAATTGGTCCTTCATGCGTCGAGGAAAGCGCAGACCTTTCAGAAGCGCAAAAGCCTGCTGGGGCGTTCACAGGCTTCTAGGAGGGCGGCCGCTTCTTCTGCTTTTAGACACCCTCTACAGCAAGGACTGTCCGTCGCATCAAAAGTGAATACCCTCCTTGCCAACTCATCTGCAGCGTTGTTCCCGTGTGAGTTAGTGCCTTTTAATCGCTTCAAAGAGTACCCCATTTAATGTGGCAAGCTGCTCCAATGCTTAATGTCATTCGAAGACATTACCAGACGTCATTATATTGCCCTCCAGTGCCTTTAGGAAGGCCATACTATCTGTCAGTATTTGGATGTTATAGTCCTTATTACCCCTTAACATGGCCGTTGTGGCGGCGTAAGTTATTGCAACACATTCCCATTGGAATATGGTACTGTATTGGCCTAACGCTAGTGACACATTCATATTTAGGTCTTGCGAGAAAACTCCGGCTCCAGACTCAGTCTTGGAACCCTCCGTCAAAATTCGGACTTCATTAATGCCGGATTGATCTCGCTCATTTTCTTGTATCAGAATCTGATTTCTTTCTGTGAAGATATGGTGTTTTGGATTCCTATCGCATGGGGCTGCTAGTAGTGGTTCGTGTTCTACTAATTGATCACATAATTTGGAGTGGTGTCTAAGTCTAATGATCGCCATGGCGACCCACTGCTGTATGTACATCCTGTGGCGGCAGACCAAGAGCCACCTCTAGTGCGGCAGTTGGCGTTGGGCGCATACAGCCAGTGACCTCAGAGCATGGGAGTCGCTGGAATTGCCGCAATTTGTTTATGACGGTGCTTAGCTCTGTTCTCTGCCACCAGACAATAGCACCGTAAGTTAATTGGCAGAAGACAATGCTGCTGGCTTCGGTTAGTGCTTCATCGAGGTGCTTATTCCACAGCAGTTTGCTGTCCAGTATTACTCCTAGGTATTTGACCTCTTTGGTAAGAGCTAGTTGTGTTCCAAATAGTTCGGGAAGTCTATGATTCTTAGGCTACGTTTGTTTGTGAACATGATCATAACTGTTTTCGATTGGTTCACTGTCAAGACTACTAATGAGGATAGTCAGATCGTCTGCCTACTGTGAAGGATCTGCGGTCGTTGAGTTGTGTGATGAGTTCATCCACAACAATGTTCCATAGAAGAGGGGAGAGTACACCGCCCTGGGGGCATGCTCTAGCCACCATCCCTTTAGCCACTTCTCTCACAGTAAATTGAATAGCTCTATTTCTTAGCAAGCTGTCGATCCACCCTGATATCGTGAAATCAACACAATGTCTAGACAGAGCTTGGCTTATGCTGGTGAAGTTGGTGTTCTCAAAGGCACCCTCGATATCGATAAAGGTGCCCATTGTTGACCTTTTGTGTTTCAGATAACCTTCTATGTGTGATACAACTCGATTTAGAGCAAATTCTGTTGATTATGCCATCGAGTATGCGTGTTGGTTGTGGTGTAAGCACGGTGCCTTAATATTATATTTTGTAAAATGGGAACACAGGCGAATGCGATTGTTTCAGACGTTCTCTGTCGTCGATTTCCCCCGAACGGAACCAAACACATTGGAACCAGTTGCAACACCTCGATACAGGAATTCGTAAGCGCAACTATATGAGCTGTCGCTTAATTTTTCTTGGCATATAAACTCTGTGCTCGTTTATCGATAGTATATATATCTCAATACAACTTTACAATATAGCTTCCAAACTTTCTAAAAATGGTGTTCTTTCTTTCAGATCAAAGTCGAGGACATTGAACGTACGACGGCAGAGATCGACGCCGCCCGTGAGGACTACGTACCGGTTGCTAATCGGGGGCAAATTCTGTTCTTCTGTCTATCAGACATGGCTCACGTGGACCCCATGTATCAGTATTCTCTCGAGTGGTTTGTGAAACTTTTCATTCGATCTATGGCGGAGACCGAGGCTCATGGTGAGTTTGATGTAATTCAGTGCCAGTATGGTGATTTATACGCTGTCTAATAATTACTTCAATAAGACTACCTACCCACTTTAAGTAACCTTGTGTTGTAATGTAGTAGTGATCTCTTTATATTATTTTCAGAGGAGATAATAGAGCGCGTGGAGATCATAATAGAGTACTTCACGTTTCTGCTGTACTCGAATGTGTGCCGCAGTCTTTTCGAGCGTCACAAGCTCCTGTTCGCGTTCCTGCTTTGTGTCAGAATTCTGCTCGATAAGGGCATCGTTAAGTTTTCGGAGTTCAACTTTCTATTGACCGGAGGGAAAATTGAAGAAGTACGTTTATGTAAAACCCAACGACTATTGAAATATTTTTGACAAATTGCTAGTTTTCGAGGTGTTTTTACAAATTAATAGAATTTTGCATTTATAAATATCACTTACGAAGTCTACTCGTATAATCTAAAATGGCTAGTAGGTATTAAGTATGAATATTTTGCATTTTAGGAAATTCCGAATCCTGATCCAAAGTGGATTACGGATCGAATTTGGATCGAGATCCAGCAGTTGAACAGCTCCGTGCCGACTATGAGTTCTTTCATGAATGACTTCATGTACAGAAATCCAAAGTTTTACAGGAACTTATATGAATCAAACATACCGCACAAGTCAGTTGATAATCTCTTTCTTTTTCATGATGATACTTATATTATTTGTCAAAATGCTTTTAAAGCTTAAACTTAGAGTCCATTTACTGAACTTTTTAAATTTTCAAAAGTAATTTAGGGCCCCTACAGGACTAGAAATTATTTTTACTTATCATTTCATGTTATACCAATTAAACATATTCTTTTGCTGTTATTATAGTACTTTAAATTATTATTATTATTAGCTGCTATTATTAGCCGCGTTTAAATTAAGTTGCAAGTGTTAAATGATATGTAGTCTATCCATTCACATGAAAGAAAATACTTTTTCAACTTTTGAGAGGCCAATCGGTCAATTATCTCACGTGGCTGAAGGGAAACATGGCATTTCATCTTAAGTATGTCTCTTCCTCTAAACTTTACTGTTTTTTTTTTCAATTACTGATAGGTCTGTTGTTGGGTGCTGAGAGAAAAAAGAAAAATTGCTCAGAAGCTTTATCTTGACGTGACACTAACCCTAATAAACACGCCAGCTCTCGTAGAGGACGTAGATTATTTTGCCACAGTAATTGTTACATTTTCCATGGGAAACGATCATCCCTTTACTTTTGCTCAGCCTGTATCATCCTTTCCGCAGGGTCTAAACGCATTAGACGGTGGTGTTTCATGTACTCTGAGCACGGACCACGAACAGAGAACTCGTGTTTTGTTGATTGTTAAAACTGCAAAGATTAAAACGTACTTTCTGCGTCCTAATTGCCTTCCTATTCTCTCCGTAGGTTAACCTACCCGAGAGATAGTCAGTTCGACATTTTCCAAAAGTTGCTGATCCTAAAGTGTATACGTCCCGACAAGCTGATACCTGCCTTACAGGTATTAAAAAAACAATTTGATTTTATATGTCAGATTTTTGGAAAATCTTCTATATCTTAAGACATTACGACATCACTGCTCTAATTAGCATTTATTATTCCTATATTCTCATCTTAACGTGTAAGGCGTCGTCCTATTTGGATAAGATTTTGATGTTATGTACTTATTAAAGCTTACGAACTTCTAAACCGGTGGTGGTGCTTCGCTTTTTAGGGTTATCGCGCTAGCGAAAGAAATATTTACTATCAGTCGTGCAATGGGTTTGATCGAGCGAATTAATCGAATCTACAAATTCTAATCACTTCTGAGTACCATGTGTACTGCGAGCGGTTACTGCAAAATTTAATCAAATGTTTTTTTTTGTCGTGGACAAATTATCGTTAAAGTTCTTCATAATTTCGTACATCAAAATAATTATTGAAAAATTTACCGCGCTGATATCTGAATTTGTAAAGCATAGTATGTAATCTATACTAATATTATAAAGCTGAAGAGTTTGTTTGTTTGTTTGAACGCGCTAATCTCAGGAACTACTGGTCCGATTTTAAAAAATCTTTCAGTGTTAGATAGCCCATTTATCGAGGAAGGCTATAGGCTATATATCATCACGCTAAGGCCAATAGGAGCGGAGCACCAAAGAAGAATGTTTTTAAAACGGAGAAAATTTATTACTATTGAGAGACGCAGACGAAGTTGCGCGGGTCAGCTAGTCTATGATATGATATATTGGCACAAAAATATTATAACTTATCATTATGTGGTAATGATAAATAATGACCTAAACCTAAACCTACATTCAAACTTAGACAGGCCTTATTGACAGTTTATTTTGTTACAGTTATAAATTTCGCACCCTAACAACTTACTGCAGACGCATATACACCAGACAGACCACTCAGCACAAACATACATAATACTCATCCATTACTCACACAGAAACAGTCAAGCATTACTCATACAGACACACATACACTACTCACATCACCATACACAACATATATAAACTCGACATTAATCGACACACACACACACACACACACAAAACCACAATAAATTGCACAATCTCTCAACTCAATTTAAAACACGTGCTACACCGGTTTCCACCATTTCTGAGGGTTCAGGACTGTATTATCCCTAACACAGGCTATTATGTAGCCTAGCTGGGAAAACAGCACTCAACCACGATATTATTGTAGACTTCTAATTGTAACACAAACTCATCATAATAAATGTAAAATTGTGTAAACCTACAATCTCATTTATACAATAAAAAGTTATTATTAAAAGAAAAAAAAAACATAATTACGTCTGTTTCTCTTACAAAGAATATATTTTCACCTTTTTCGCAACATTTTTAATTGTCTTTCGGCTTCTTTTTGTCGTAGCATGATGTTATATAGCCTATATCCTTCCTCGATGAAAGGGTTATCCAACGCTAAAAGATTTTTTCAATTCAAACCAGTATTAAAAAAACTGTTTACATTTTTATTTTATTTTGCACGCACGCAAAAAAAAAAGAATTATCCAATTTGGTACAGTCGTTCGGCAGTGCGTACATACACTTCGGTGATTCATTTTACTTTTATACAAGACAGATAAAGAGATGATTTTCAGGACTATGTGGTGCTGGGTATGGGCGCCAGGTTCGTGGAGCCGCAGCCGGCAGACCTGGCCGCGCTTTACGCTGAATCAGACCCCCTCGCACCCATCATCTTTGTGTTATCCACGGGCACTGACCCCGCAGCTGGTTAATACGTGTATTATTATATACTCATACATTATGACCCTTATGATTAGGATTAAGTTATAGGTATAACCTATACCTTAATCCTAGTAGGCAAGTCTCGCTCCCCATTATAGGTTTAAAGTTACAAGTGCGTGGCTCCCTTCGTTTGATGTTGACTTCTTCTGGCTTGTAATTTGATTATTTAAAATTTAATAGTGCTAATTCTGTTGTTCAAAAACTAACTAAACTAAAAATAACTAAAACGCAGTTTACTCCTGTTAAATACTACGTTTTTAGAATAGGAAACATTGTTTGACAGGACTTAACAAATTTTTAGTGATGTTTAGAGTTTTCGAACAAAAGAATTAGCACCATTATCTTAATTTTACTAAATTGATCATCAGTTATTCGAAATCGTTTATTTTTTTATATCATAGAGGGCAAGCGAGCATTCGGGTCATTTGATGGTAATAAGTAAATAGTTCGTAAATCTGGCACTTGGTTCATGTACGCCTTCAACAAGTTAGCTTTTATGCCTCTTGGGGGCTCCAACCTGCAATGAAAATGAACAGAACACAGTAATAAATAAATTCTCACAAATAAGAGCTTACCCTTTTATATGTGAGAATTTCTTTTTCCTTTGAGTAAGTGACCCGAATGTAATGAATAATATTGTTAAATAGGATCATTATATTTTATTACATTATGTAAAGACGAAAAAATGCTGATCACGAAATTTAACGTGTTTAAGTTGCTTCCTTGTTGATCTGTAGATCTGATGAAATTCGCTGAAAAGATGAAGATGGGCAAACGCTTTGAGAGCATCTCATTGGGTCAAGGTCAAGGTCCATTAGCTGAAAATATGATGAGGATTGGCTGTGACTTCGGAAACTGGGTTTTCTTCCAGGTAAACGCCATGAGCAGCAGATATGTAAATACCGATGTTTTGTACTTTAAAAAATAGCTTAACGAGTTAACTATTAAAAAGTCTTTTATTTTGTCATTATAAGAGATTTCTTCCAAACATCCCTAACATAATTACAATAGATGATGATGGATGTTAGCAAATATTTTGCTGACATCCTTATTTTTATTATATTTTTTAATGACAACTCCCGCACTGGGAGTATATCCTGTGTCGTGGAGGACTTTACTCATAATCATACATGAAACGGACACAAAGAACACCCAGACTCAGAACGACAGTTTGTACATCACACAAAGTGTCATCCTATGTGGGGATCGAACCCACAACACTCATCGTTGTAGGAAGCGGCGTCGCGACCTTTTAACACACTACGCCATCCGAGCAGTCAATTTTGTTGTAAGAGCCAATATTTGAAATAATAATGCATACATAATATGCATGTGTATTGTATTTACAAATATGTAATACTTAAACAATAGATGTATATTCATTTACCTTAATTACATATTTATTAGTGCATTGTAGTAGGTAGTGCATTCCACAAGCGGGCAGCTTAAACTTTAAACGATGGATGAAACAAGCTAGTCTATTGCTGTGATGAGGTTGAAGACACCAAGGTGTGTCATTAAATTTCGAAGTGAAGAAGTTAGATATCTAGCAACGAACATGTACTAGCTACCTTCTACAAGTCATCATATCATCTGGCTTCTGACTAACCCTTGTTTTTAAGATATTTTATTCATTCTCCATATCGATAGAATTGTCACCTGTCCCCGTCGTGGATGCCGGTGCTGGAGCTGAACGTCGAGCACATTGCTCCGGAGCTGGTGCACAAAGACTTCCGCCTCTGGCTTACCTCCACACCTTCGCCGTTCTTCCCTGTCGCGTTACTGCAGAATGGTAAGTCGTTTCTTGAAAAAAATGTAGTCACTCTACTGGTTTTTAGTTCCCTAAAATGTTTAATGAAAGCTCATTTCATTGTTTTATAAGTTTTGGTTGTTTAACCGATTGGATTTCCTTTTGTTTCTGTGTGTGCCGTACCTAAGTGCCGAGAATAAGAATGATATACGAGTATAAAGCTATAGGGTATATTAGTTTTCAGGTCTGTTGCTTACCGAGAAGGTTAACCGTTTCGACGTTTGGGTTACTGAAGCAAGTCTTTGCCCGTCAAGGCCTGCTGGATTGATCAGAACCTGATACAATAGTTTAGTCAATCCCCTTGTCCCCATAATTATTGCTGTAGCAATACAAAACCAATAATTAAAAAGGATGAAGAGACTATAATTAAATCATCACATCAACAGCCTATGATAGTCCACTGCTGGACATAGACCTCTCCTTAGAAAGGAGGTATTGGCCTACTATATCACGCTGGCCAGACGGGTTGGTAGAGGGTTTGTTTTTATAATTAAATACCGCGCTAAAATTTCGTATTTGTTCATCCTTGGGTAAGTCTTCCAGACAGTAGACGTCTTTCGGCTCAGAAGAAGTAGTATATAGCTCAAAGGAAGACGAGCTTACTCTTTTATTTGTGAGAATTTCTTTATTGATTTCTGTTAATTTTCATTGTAGGTTACAAGATGACAGTGGAGCCCCCAAGGGGCATAAAAGCTAACTTGTTGAAGGCGTACATGAACCAAGTGCCAGATTTTACGGACTATTTTAATTCTGCCGACGCTAAAGTACCTAATTTTAAGGTATATGCTATTTTGTTGTGTTCTATTTAAAATTGCACTCATTGGCTTTCTATCTAAATAAGTCTTGCCAAATTATTTTTTGTTAATAGTTCAAATGGAACTCCATGGCTTTCCATCTAAAAAGCCTCTCCAGATTACTATCTGTGTTAAGTTCAAATGTGTCTCAGTAGTTTAAAGCTAAAAATTGTCTAGTCGAGTTAACTTAACAGTTCCATTGCCGCCCTTTGAGCCCTTTCTCCCATAAAAAGGAAGACGAAGAGTTAGGACACCAGCGACCTCACTCACTCAGTGAAAGGCAACACAATAATTACTAACGTTTACTAAAGCCCATCGCCTCGGTCGTGCCGGCCCATTTGGGTTGAAGCATGGCTCTCCCACAAATAAACAAGGAGGATAATGACGATTTAGTCCTCATCGTTCATCTTTTTAGTGGCTATTGTTCTCCCTCTGCCTGTTCCACGGGGTTGTTCTGGAACGTCGCAAATTCGGACCTTTGGGTTTCAACATTCCTTACGAGTTCACCGACGGGGACTTGCGCATCTGCATGTCTCAGCTACACATGTTTTTAAATGAATATACAGAAGTACCTTTGAGAGTAAGTGGAGAAATTGTTCTAAATTTGACTTGCAAATTTCGGACTTGGATAATTAAGTTCTTGAAATATGGATGAAAACAATGGGGATATGCATGTCTTTTTTTATTTTTTTAAATGTTTCTATTAGTTATTACATTACCAAAAATAATTATAACAACGCCTGAAATATAAACCATTCAGCCAAAAAAATTACAAAAATCATCATGATTTTCGGGCGATTTTAACGCAACCATTTTGGCGCTCTTATTTCGTGACGTCAAATTATTGAGAATACACAAAGTTACTGACAGTTAAAAAAGTGGGCTCTAAAATCAACTTATTACCGTGGAAAAGCACAAAAAAGTTTATAATAAATATTGTGTCTTTCCTACTTGCCAAAATAACACCAACACACCTGACAAAGTATATTTAGGTACTTATAGCGAAAGAAAAACGAAAAAGTGCTGCAAGGCGACATGAAGAGACAATTTATCGTGTTTTAGCTGTTTATACTGTTGTGAAGATAATTTTTACTTTATTACCTTCACGTAATTTTTTTTACAAACATCGATAAAAACATAACCTGGTTTACGAACAGTTCGTAAGAAAAGATTTATTTATTTATTAGTTTTAATCTCACAATTCACATTTTATGGCTATGTTTTATTCTTAAGAATTATAAAAGTGTGTACGTGTATATTAGGGATCAAAACATGTTCGGATAGTATTTAAAATTATATTCTCAATACTTAATACATAGGTATTTATCCATAAGAGTATTGCTTATACTTGCTTATACTCGTAACTGAAAAGTTAAGTTCTAAACTATTTTTATTTACCTTTCTAGTTTTATTTCTGGGTTTCAGATTGAAAAGAATTATATGTATTATACAATTTATGATTATTATGAACACGTATATTTAAGACTAGCTGAGACCCGCTGTGTTACCCGCGTTTGTTGTTATAACCGCAGGCAATGTCGCGGGGCGAAGCTAGTCTTAAAAAAAGTAGCCTAAATTACTCCTTATGTCATCAGCTATCTGCCAGTGAAAGTCCCGTCGAAATCGGTCCAGCCGTTCCAGAGATCACCCGGAACAAACAGACAGACAGACAAAAATTGTAAAAAATGTTATTTTGGCATATGTACCGTGTAAACATATATATGCATTTAGTAAAAAGCGGTTATTTTAATATTACAAACATACACTCCAATTTTATTTATTTGTATAGAAGATCATCTGATTGTGCTTCGACATTCGATTTCGCTAAGATTTAGGTAATACTTTCAGACAGAAAACTAATAACGTAATATGAAACAACCGCGAAACAATACAAAATAATAATCACCAGAAACCATACAAACAACTTGTTGACAGTGAAATTTGACGTCACGTTTTGTATACCAATAGCGTTGCGTTTTATAAAATTTGCGAGTGAATTTTAAAAAAGTCACTTTTACGAAGATTAAATTTTGACTATTAAGTTATGATAAACTTATATAATAGTACTCTAGAGGCGAAATACATGAACAACGACCATGATTTTTACTACTTGGAAAATTTTATTCTAGAACAGATACACAAGAATAAAATAGATAAATCAAAAGTTTCGAACCTGCCCCAAAAAGATTGGATAAATCGAACTATTATTAATGCTATAAATCTACGAAATACTTTATGGCAACAAACGAAATCGAACCCTAATGATAACATTTTACGTGAGAAGTTTGTAGCTGAACAACAAAGAGTTAAGACCTTAATCGACACACACAAGAAAAAATACTACCATACAATGTTTCATAAATGTAGAAAACAACCTAAGAAAATGTGGGAGCTCATTGGTAACTTAGGTTTAAATAAAATAAAAGACAGCGGTGCTCCCCCCAAACTGATATCTAACTCGAAAATTATCACGGAAGGTAATTTAATATGTGATTTATTTAACTCATTTTTCTCATCAGTAGGCGCAGATTTAGCTAACAAAATACCTAACATGTATCACGTAAATACGGGAAATATCCTAATGTATGACCAAAATTATACTCATCACCTGAGACTATATGAACTATCACCATGTAGTGTAAGTGAAATATCCAAAATTATTGATGATCTGGACAGCAACACTAGCACTGGCCTGGATGGTATAAGTACCAAAGTGATTAAGTGCCTAAAAAGCATAATTGCTGAGAGATTAACCACCTGCATAAATATGTGTTTATCACGCGGTGTCTTCCCCGATACGCTCAAGGTTCTAGCAACCTTGAGCGTATCGGGGAAGACAGTCAGTCCTATATTCAAATCCGGAAGTAGAACTGACCCAAGTAACTACAGGCCGGTGTCGGTGTTGCCGGTGATATCTAAGATATATGAACGGGTTTTATATACACGCTTAAGTAACTATTTAACTCAAAAAAAGTTTTTAATCGACCAACAGTATGGCTTTCGTTCAGATTCTAGTACTCTCACGGCCACAGTAGACCTAATTACGAAAATTAAAACTCACATCGATCAAAGGAGCTTAGCTTTAGGTATTTATATTGATCATAAAAAGGCATTTGACACAGTAAGCCACCAAAAGCTTTTACAGAAATTAGACAACATAGGTATCACAGGCACAGCCCTCAGTATGTTTAAATCATATTTAGACAATAGGCAACAAGTTGTTAAACTAGATAACTTCACTAGTTCGACTCAAAAAGTAACATATGGCTGTCCTCAAGGCTCAATTATCAGCCCATTACTGTTCTTAATTTACATAAACAATATTAATAAAATAGGCATAACAGGACACCTTACATTATATGCGGACGACACATGTCTATTTTATTTCGGTAAATCTATCCACAATATCATAGCTGACGCTCAAAATGACCTCAATATTCTTAACGAATGGTTAAAATATAATCTTCTGACGATAAACACATCAAAAACATCATTTATGATTTTCGCGGCAAAAAAATAAACATATACCAGACTTTACACCACTAACAATAAATAATGACATCATTAAACGGTCTTATCACGAAAAATATCTTGGATTGTGGGTAGATGACAAACTTACCTGGAAACTACACATAGATCACGTAAGAACAAAGTTAATATCGATACTGGGGGTATTACGTAAAGTATCAAAGTGCATTCCAACCAAAACCCGTACTATTATTTATAACTCTTTGATTAGGTCACATCTTGAATATCTAATTGAGATATGGGGATCAGCAGCTGTAACCAATTTGAATACACTGCAAAGAATACAAAACAAAATAATTAAAGTGCTTTTCCATTACCATTATCTAACTCCAACTAAACTACTATATGAAAAAACTAAATTATTGAATCTCAGTCAACTGTATGTCTGTCATACTTGCATTCTAATTAAAAAGATTACTAACAATTCTATTCAAACTAACATACAATTACACAAAAAACCAATCACACATAATTTAAGAAATATAAATAAATTACAACTAACGAAAGTACGAACTAACTACGGAAAAAAAACAATACTACTCGTATATGAGGGGGCACAGCTGTATAATAGACTGCCAAAAGAATTAAAGGATTGTAATAATATAAATGTATTTAAAAGCGGGCTTAAGAAACATGTATGTACATTGTAGCATCCAACATGCTAAGAGATGAATATTGTATTAGTGATAAGTTAATAACTATGTATCTCATTGTAAGTGAACTAACTGTAAGTTCTTATGAGAATAAAATTCTTTAAACCCATAAATTTCAAAAATAATTGTAAGGGTATCTTTTTTTAGCAGTAAAGTTTACAAATAAAAATAGATTGTCCATTTTGGAGTCACGTGCATATTCCCTATTCCCGACAAAATTAAATTATTAACTTTGTAAGTTTTATCTAGTTATCCAGATACTTATAGTCCATTTGCGTTAAGAAAATAGTGACGCATCGATCAAGCCCCGCCCCTGACTAATCAGGTTCCAATACATTATAGTTTCGTACGAAAGCTTGGAACCTGATTGTTCAGGGAGCAGGGCTTGATCGATGCGTTACTATTGCGTCACTTTTCTCTTAACGCGAATGGACCATAGTTTATGGTGTTTCCAAATGTTTTGATGGTTGACACATTACTGCAAATGATAGATGCTGACATACACTGCTGGTCACATCAACTACGGTGGGCGTGTAACGGACGACTGGGACCGGCGGTGTCTGCTAAACCTACTGGTCGACTATTACTCATCCTCCGTGCTCCACGAACGCTATATTTTTGACGAGTCAGGAGCTTACAAGCAGGTAACTTTATACTCTGAGTCATCATTTATTGTTTAATTTATAACTGAAAAATAATGAAAAAGGTTCTATAAAAATGTTTGATTATATTGCAGAAACCAGCATCGACAACTATTGAGGATTACACGAAGTACATCCGTGGGTTGCCCCTGAACGATGATCCGTCACTATTCGGGCTTCACGCCAATGCTAACATCAGCTACGCCATGTTCGAGACTGAAGCCTGCCTCAGTGAGTATTTTAACTAACTGAATACCATTAGGTCCTAGTGACTCGGAATCCCTGTACATGTTCATTTTATTTTATGTGTGCTCGTTGCACTTTGTGCGTTAGAAATAATTATAACAATCGTTCAGCTCTCAAGCAAGATGACGCCACTTTATATGTCCGCTTGCGACATCTTCATATCCGATCTAAACATATTATTAAAATTGAATTGAGTACCTCTTTCTTAAACTGTTGTTTGCACGAAACTGAAGGTAAAACACGCTTTAGATTTTTTGTCTGTTTGTCTGGAATAAACCCCGAAACAATTTTCTTAGTTGTTTTTACCGAATGTGAGTGTAACACACATAGGGGAGGGGGCAGTCACCACGCAAAGGCAACTCACTTGTGTTTATTTAGTTGCAGAACGTTTTCCATTTGTCCCACAAAAAATATTTCATTGTATTTATACTAATTAGCCTTATTTGCGTAGTACCAATACATAGTAAATTTTGAAGGTACACTGCTCAACCTACAGCCAAAAGAGGCGGCTGGAGAAGGTGGCGCCACTATCGAAGAGATTATTGAGGATGCCGCTAAAGATATTTTGGAAGACTTACCTGAACCGCTAGATATACATCACATCAGTATCACGTAATTACAAATAGTTATAATTATCGTTAATGTTTTCTAATGGGAGAGCCATGATTCAATACATAGGTCAGCTCGACTGGAGTGATCACAGAAAACCGGTGATAAGAGTACTTTTGTTGCTTCTCACCCTCCCCCCTCCCGTCCAGATTAAGGAGGGAATTCTAAGGGTCCCTCAACTTCAGGTGTTCATGGGTAGCGGTAATATGGCTCTCCCACGAATCTTATAAAACGGGTTCCCGTCGTATGTGGGTAAATTGTACATTTTTAATAATTTCTATATATTTTAACTATTAAGGACGTTATTGATTTACAGGTATCCTGTATCTTACAAGGAATCTCTGAATACGGTGCTTCTTCAGGAATCAATGAGATACAATCGACTACTCGGTGTCATTAAAAGCTCTTTGAGGTGAGTTTCTTAGCTGCATATAGTCGTTATAAACACAACACACATCAGCAAGTGAGATTTGACATGCTAAGGTATTCCATTCAACCAAAATATATTAAGTAGGAAATCACCAGGTGATTTCAATTTAGCTTCTGCTACAGATACGAGTCCTAATACAGATCTGTTTAAACATCATTTTAAATTGCCTTGAATACTCATTGTGTACAGGGATCTATTGAAAGCGCTTAAAGGTCTGGTGGTGTTGTCCGAGGCTCTAGAGAACATGGGAGACAGCTTGTCCAAAAACGCCGTGCCTGTCATGTGGAGCTCTAAAGCCTATCCATCCCTGAAACCACTGGGTAATTAATATGATTATTAACAAAAAAACTTCATTTAATATTTAACATACAGGGTTGCCGAAATTGGTTTCCTTAAAGGTGGTGGTTCATTATTCTTTTGTGACATGTCGGTGTCATGTCGTTCCTGTCTTTTTGTGACATTGACATTGATGACAGTCTGTTCACAAAATGTATACAAAAAATTTAATACATTATTTTGGCGATTAAAAATTCTTTAAGACTGCATGCGAAACAAATTTCGGTATGAGTTTACTAAATCCAAGCTCTACATACCATTGTATTTTTAGTTTCCATTACACCAAGTTCAGTCATCAAGCGACGAATAGATGTAACTAGGTATATTTCAAAAAGTAAGTAATAAAAAAACATAGATTTTTCTAGAACTATTTTATTAAATTAAGTATAAAATTACTTACAAATGAAATGTGATGCCATTCTTAGCAACAGAACGTCTATTTAAATAATGTTTACACGATAAAAAAAAAAAAAAAAATATTATCACGAAAATAAACCGATTTGCGATATTGCGACACAAGTGTACAGTACGGACGCTGAGTGTAACTACTGAGCTGAGATTAACTTTGGTCCACGCCCACTGTGATGACGTTAGGGCCTAGTAAGACCCGCCAGGCCCGGGAACGGGCCAGGTACCGCAGGCGACTCAGGCGCCGGAGGTCGCAGAACGACCTCCGTCCTCCATAAGCGCAGGCCTGGGGGTGACAGGTGAGGCCATCTGTCACCCTAGCAGAAGCAGATGACCCGATGTATGTCGGGGCACCAGGGACTTCCTTTCTAGGGTATACCTGGTTCCCCGGCTATTAGTACCCGAGACGGCGTGCGGTTTTAGTCGGTTCGAGTCCGACATGCCACCGACAGGTGGTATCCAAAGGGGATTTCCGCAAGGAAAAAAAAAAATTCATTTATTCATTTTCATTGTTAAAACTGTTAATAAAATTCAACTAGTAAAATATAAAAATATTTTGTTTTCATAGCTTCTTGGACAAAAGATCTTACTTTGCGCGTCAACTTCATGCAAGAGTGGGCAAACACGGGCATCCCCAAGGTGTTCTGGATCTCAGGGTTCTACTTCCCGCAGGCCTTCCTCACTGGAGCTCTTCAGAACTATGCCAGAAAACACGTTATTGCCATTGATACAGTGGCATATGCCTTCGAGGTTAGATTAATATTCATTTCATACACATTGGCTGTCAAATTGCCATCGGGTATCTCTACAAGTATCAATAAAACCTACGTAGTATTGCGCCATAGAATTAAACGGTTCTAGTATTGAGTCGTTATATCGTGAACAATCGAGAGCCGTATGAAATCTTGAGGACAGTGCCATCTAGTATCGAATAAAGGAAATGGAACTAGAAATTCCTTATTATCTGGAATGCTCTATCGAATCCTAGGGATTATTCTAGTTATTTCGTTAGCCATATATAAGCGAAGCGAGTTTTGTTTTACGACAGTTTTAAAAGAGTTCTTTCGCTAAGTGATTGTTTTATAAAAGTTTGTGTTTATAACATACAGATACTACAGTGATACATACAGACACATAATACAGTGCTAATTTTGGTAATTAACCGCCTACTTATATCTATTGCAATTTCTTTGAGTTTATCTGTTACAAACGAAAGGCAATCAACGCAACTCGCGGATTGCCTTCAAGCTTTTACTTACCCGTTTTCCTAATAAAAATTGAGGCGTTATATGACATCTGTCGCCTGAACTATTTTTATACTTTCACCACATAAAAAGGCTAAATGCTGGCATATACTTTGTTTTTCCTAACCGTAACGGTAATATTTTATCGTTGTACCATAAATATTGGTTATTAAATTAAAAATCAATATTTATTTTGACTTCGAGCACTCATGGCCCATTATGCGGGTAGGCTTCTCTGCTCAGCGTGTACAGCTCTGCATGTACAGTAAAATATATTACAGGAGTTAACGAACGCACCCTCGAAGAAACCAGAAGACGGATGTTGCGTTCGCGGTCTGTTTTTAGAAGGCGCGCGATTTAACCTGTCTGATATGTCTTTGGAGGAGAGTAGACCTAAGGAACTGTACATGGGTGAGTATGAAGTAGATAAATAATTGCGGAGTCATTTTATTATAATTTGTAATAACTTAACGCAAAACAATAACTTTTAAACATTCTATTGACATAAGTTTTATATAATTGGGAGCTAAATCGATTTTTGATAAGCAGGTACATACGTGGAGTAAAAACAGATTCGAACAGGTCACACTTAGTCGGCCTGTAAGTAGACAGTCAATGTTATCTGCTCGAACCAAAAGGCAGTATGTATGTACACAATCTGTAATTTGGCCATACTGTAGGGCTGCTTATAGAAGGTTACTTCTACTATTTACTACATGTTATCAATAATGAGGTTTGGCAAACTTATAAATTTCAGTGACCACGAGGCAACGATCGACCCTTAATTAAACTTAATTTTATAAAAGTAGATAAGTTAATGCTTACACTCGTAGCATTAGCTTACTTACACTCGTAGCGTAGCATTATTTTCCACCCTTAGGTTGGCATTGTTTTTAATTTAAATGAGTCCAAAAGGAAGTGTAACCTCAGAAATATAAAATAGAATTTTCAAAATCTATTCACAAATGGCGAAGTCCTGAGCTAACAAATTTAAAACAAATAGACTAGAATAAACTTTAATGTACCTATATATATAGTACATCAAATTAATGACCCAGTAGAAATGGCGGCTTTATAGCTAAAAATCAATTGCTTACAGACAATATTTAGATGGACAAACAGACTAGCTGACAAACTGACTAAACGAGTTCATGGGTAGTTTTTGTGTGAAAAATGCATAAAATATTAATACAGCAAGCTGTCCGTGTGGTGACGGATTAAGAATACAGACTGTCACCACCCCTATTCGTCCCGTGGTTGTCGTAAGAACCGACTAAGGGAGCCAACTACGCAGGACAACAGCACTGCATAGAGAAGGAAAACTTGAAACAAACGCTATACCAACCCATCTGGCGAGCGTGATATAGTAGGCCAAAACCTCCCTTCTAAGGAGAGGCCTATGTCTAGCAATGGACTATTAAAGGCTGTTAATGTGATGATAATGATAGAAAGCAGCATTTGATTTCGATAAAAAGTAAATGACAAAGTAACAATTATTCATTATTGAAATACAACGAGACCCTAAATAGCCTACCGGATCAGCAAGCTGAAGTGGCAGTGGGCTGGCTATATTAGCCGCAGAACTGACAACCGTTGGGTAAAAGGAGTTCTTGAGTGGAGACCGCGTCTCGGTAAACCTAGTGTAGGACGCCCACGGGCCAGGTGGAGTGACGATTTGCGCAAGATGGCTGGCAGGAGCTGGATGCGAGAAGCCCAAAATCTAAGTGACGTGCAATGGGAAAGGCCTTTGTCCAGCAGTGGACTGCGATAGGCTGATGATGATGATGATGAACGAGACCCTCCTCTTTTTTAAAGTCGATTAAACACTGTTTCTAAATCCGTTTTTCAGTTATAAAAATTATGCTCCACTGTGCCATTATTGGTTATGGTGGTTAATTTAATCTATATAAATAAATAAAATTGAAGTGTCTGTTTCTAATGTCAAAATAATAGGTTTTTCTTTATGCTTACATGGTTAATTTCATGATACCTATGCCAAAAAACAGTTTAAATATTTTTCGTCTGTCTGTCTGTCTGTCTATCTGTCTGTTTGTTCCGGGTAATATTAAAAACTGCTGGACTGATTTTTTTTTAATTTTACTACCAATTAGCTGTCTATATAAGGAGTAACTTAGGCTATTTTTTCTCTCAAAAAAACCTTATAAAATTTTTCTTGGTCCGGGAATCGAACCCATTAAGGCAGCGCTTTACAAATGCCACGCGAACGAAGTCACGGGCACCAGCTAGTTTTATATATTTTCATTTGTCCAGAAATGCCAATAATCTACATGAAGCCAGAACAAGGCCACAAGTTGAAGGAGGGCCTGTACGAGTGCCCCACGTACAAGACGTTGCTGCGAGCCGGCACGCTGTCCACGACAGGCCACTCCACCAACTACGTGATGACCATCGAGCTGCCGACGCACAAACCGCAGTCCCATTGGATCAAGCGCGGCGTCGCTCTCTTCTGTGCACTCAATTATTAAGTGGCTCAATTTGTTCATTTTTGCAGTGTTTTACGATTGTATTCTCTCAGGCTCACGTTGATTGATTCGAGCAGTGACTTAAGCGTTGAGTCAAGCGTTTTTACATCACTACCTACCTGCAACGCCCCTTTGAACAAACTCACTTGTATGATATTTTAGATGTAACTTGAAATGTGTAGACCATAATTTATGTTACTAATTGTTTAATCAATTGGGTTATAAAAGTTAGGTTAAGATTTTGCTACTTTACCCATATAAAAATAACTCGCTTTTACTGCATTGAATACGCATAAAGTAACGAGTAACAAAAAAACTAATTAGGTGTATTGTAGTATAAGGTTTTTTATTGCTTGCCTTCAATCTTTTTTTCTAATTGTTGCCTCTATATTGTCTATTATGAGGTTATATATAGGTACATATTGCAAATTACATCCGATGCTTTTTGATTTGCGAACATACAGTTTTAATTTTTATCATCATGTATTTTATTAGTTTACATTGTTTTGTTACTTAAATTTGTTCATTTTTTAATTTTCTTGTTTTTTAACGATTATTAGTGGTTTGATGCACTTAATAAATATATGTATCTAATGGCCGATAATATGCGGTGGCAATGGAATCTAAAAGCTGTCTTACTGGATAGTTATGATGTGACGATATCTAAAAGGTCGAAATATTTTTTCATATTTATTGTATGAATGTACGTAAGACATTTTTTTTTAATAAATATTTTCTGTCTCCCTCCCTTTGAGTTGATTATAATTTAAGGGTATTAAAAAAATCACACACCACTAAATAAGAATTGTTAAGAGTTTGGAATTGGAGTTGAAGTTTTGTATTATTTATTCGTAAATGTTTTTTAAAATGTGTAACCACAGATGCCAAAGTTCCATACAGAAACCTCCTTTTCGCAAAACTTTCTGATTGGCTAGTATGATTTACAGTTTTAAAAATTAAGTTAACAAAATAACTACCCTACTTTGGATTTTAATCAACAAACAGTATGAAATTTTCCCACCTGAGTTACTTATGTAGGTATTATACTTAAAATCGCCTTATTATTCTGACTCGGATCGGACTGCTATTTTACAAGGAATATTTTCCATTGCCGTGACAAAACATATGTTACACATACTCGTATATTTCAGAGACTTGAATGTATTATCCAGGTCTTTATATTGTTTTTATTGTTTTATTTTCTAAGACCTTATTATTTAAATCTTATTTAATTATTTTTTGTATTTTGCTATTTGATTAAAGTTTCGTGTAACTGATGTTTACCTGATGTAGCAATACTCATAAAACTTTGATTCGCATTAATGGTTTAAGTACCTATTGAATATAAGATCTTGTGTTTACGAGTCCTAATTCGGTTGACGGTTATTTTATGATGGTGTTTATTTTTATTTAGTTAGGTAGTATTGTATTATTATTACTGATACATATGTTATTATAAATTACTTGAAATAAATGTATATTGTTTTCTTTATGCCCGACCAAGACAAAAGAAAATATTGTTTTTTTTTAAAGTAGGTATATTAAACTGGATAACATTGCACTGCGCCACGTTACTACGCTAGCTCACCACTGCCTCGGCTTAGCTGACTTCCTTATATGATATAGTTCCATGGCCTACGTAAGCGCCAGAAATCGCCCAACTCACGCCTCCGGGTAGGTGACGCTGAAAACCAAGTTGACCGGTTCATGAATTCCATAGGCCTCATCCTGGATGGTTGCTTCGGTGAGTACCTAAATCGGATTGGACGCGAGGAGACGGCACAATGCCAGCCCTGCGCAGCCAACTCGGACTCCACCCAGAATACGTTGGAAGAATGCTCCCGCGTACCTTTAAGAACCTTAACGCGAGGTCCTGATCGATCAAATCGGATGAGACCTGTCGCCACCAGCAATCATTGCTGCCATGCTGGTGGGTGAGGAATGCTGGGGCGCGGTGGTCTGTTTGTTGTGTTGCTGTAATGCTGCATAAAGAGACCACTGAACGGGATCGGGAGAGGGCCGATCCCGAGGCTAGAGGATGTCAGTTGCGATATCAGCCGTCGACGGGGCCGCAGGCTGCCAGAGAGTGGGGACCTCTTGTGGTAGATTGATTACTGCGGTAAAGGACATATTGACGGCCTAATTGCACCAAAATGCGATCTGCCGTCACATTCATTTAAGTGCTACTGCATTTTGTTGTGACAGTTTTTTGTACTGCATGTGTTGACAACTATAAAATTAGGTGCAAGGTGTATGTTTTGACCTATTTTATTATTCCTACTGTTAACACTCATATGTTCCTGAAACTAGACCTTGTGTTCAGTGGCGGCTGGTGGGTTATAGAACTGGTGTGCCCTTTGCTAGCTGGTCAAATATTAGGATTTTGATATACTCTATGTTAAAGTTAATATTTATTTTCACAATTATTTATACACATAAAGCCACACAATATGTCCGTCTCAGTATACTAAATATCTTTCCCAAAACTAAACAAAACAACAACTAATTAAATTGCGTAAACAAAACATTCGACATGCAGTCTAACATAGCCGCCTTCGGGCGCTTTAGGTTTGGGTCAGAACTCGGGTACTACCATTTGTATAATATACACCTAAGCTACTACTACAATTTGTATTTGTATTAGCTTTCTTTTGATTCTTTTGTCTGACGCGATGGGCGTGTTAACTCGTGGTATGTCGAAGTTACCAGTTTCACCGTGCTATTTGAATCTTCGATACAGCGACGATAGGTTAACATTATCTAAGAAACATTTTATTTTCATTTCTAAACCTATTAAAATTTGGTGGTTCATTGCACGAATTAATTTTTTTAGGTGTGTTTAATTGTTTTTACTTATACTTTTTTTTTGTTTTTAACGATCTTCATTTGTCTAGATTACCTAAGGTATAATCATATACGGGCTTTTATAGTTACATATTTAAATCGTAAAACTGTAATCGATTTGTTGTATATAACAAAGAATTGATATCGATATTTCAACCACCACCCTATTCTTCTTTTCTTCTTCTATCTGTTAGAAGTCGCTTAGAAGAACTTGTCTTAGATTGGAGGGACTATAATTTGTTTTGATTCATTATCATGAAAATGCCATTCATAATTAATTAATTCAAAGAAAGACAAAATGTAAAAATTACTTAATCACTTGTACTCAATCAATTAATTTGTACACCATTTTTGTGGCACAGATGTAGTGGTAGTTCAACATAATATTTATTCTAATCTGTAAGTATGTAACCTATATTCCACAAAGTGTTATGCATATGAATAATCCAAATCTTTTGTAAATGGGCTACATACAAAAGAAGACGTGTCGATGACCGTTTTAGACTTTGGTATAATTGATATTAATTTATTGGCAACACTGATTAGGCATAAAACGATACTATAATCAGGTATTCTTATACGGTATCGGCCGTAAAGGATCAGTAGTTATTCGGTATCGATTGAAAAGGATCGATACTTCCTCTTTTCGATTCAAAAACAGTAGCAAGTATTGATAACTTTTATTGATATAAAAATAAAAGCTTTTATTAAGTACTCTAAGCTTTTAGTAAGTAGTGCTTTTAGTAAGCTTTTACTAAGTACAAAAATAAAAACGGCTTAGAAATTTAAATAACATCTCAGTTATGTTTGATTATAAAGTATTAAACTACGTACTTAATGACTTAAGTTTATGTTCTTAAAATGTTACTACAATTATAAATCCAGGCTATTGACATCATACGAATTAATAAAAATTCAAACTAATAAAGTAACTAAACTTGATTATTTAGGATACTGCACTATTTTTATAATGTATTGACGCTGTAACCCACCGAACGTTATTTTAGTCTATCTAATTAAATATCAGATTATACAAAAAATAAGGCAAAGGATATGTTGAAAAAAATCAATTAATCATATCCATAAAAAATGATGATCATTATTTTTATGCGTTTTATATACTTAATATTTATTACAACGGACAACAAATTAATACGGTCGAAAATGCAAAAATTTTAGGTCACAATCTCCATTTTAAATTAAATTGGAAATCTCAAGTGGAAGACATTTGTACTAAACTCAATCAATTCTCTTATGCATTTTAAAGACATGGAACAATTATGAACCAATCTGCTGTCATCATTTCATACCCTAGCAATGGTTTTATAGAATCAGTGCTAAGGTATGGGGTCATCTTTTGAGGGAACCTGTAGACAGTGGTTATAATATAATATTTATTTATTTAGGTGTGTAGTTGTGAAGTTAAAACAGACGGGTAGTTGTAAACCACTTTTTATTTGTCTGAAACTGTTCACGCTTCCATAGCTTTATGTATATGAGGTAGCAGTCTTTGTTATGTGTTTGACTGCACGGATGGCGTAGTGGTTCAAGCGGTCGCCACGCCGCTTCCTACTGCGCCGAGTGTTGTGGGTTCAAACCCCACATGGGACGACACTTTGTGTGATCCACAAATTGTTGTTCTGAGTCTGGGTGTTCTTTGTGTCCGTTTCATGTATGTTTGTAAAGTCCCCCGCGACACAGGATTTATTCCTAATGCGGGAGTTGTCTTTTAAAAAAAAAAAAAAAAAAAAAAAAAAAAAAAAAAAAAAAAAAAAAGTTATTACATATATTTCTTTATTTGAGCGCCTACAGTGTTAACGTAATAATCAAAAAAATATGTTTTACATCCAACAAAACAACCAAGGTTAGTACACAAAATATTATTTAGTAACTACCTACACACCACTTTTGAAGCAATTTCTTGTTGAAATTGCATACTATAGTGTGAAAGGATATCTCGGAGACAAACCTCTTAAGTTTTTTAAATACCACACTTTTTGGAATGTTTTTCCGGTTTTTTCTGAGGGTGCCCACTAAATGTGTCTCACTATCTAACAGCTTTCGAGCCAGTCAACACTTGTGTACCAATTATCGATATACAATGTGTGGCCTTTATTTAAAAGACCACTACACAATTCCATTACCACAGCGGTAGGGGA